TAATTGATTTACTCAATCCTTTCCATGCATTTAAGGGTTTTCAATTCCTGGGAATTTGCTAAACGATTAAGCGAAGTTATGAAATGATTTGTGTAGAGAATTTCATCCTTTTTTTTCATTAGTATTATTAGAAATGTACCATCAATATCTGAATTTAACATTTTTTTTAATAAAATTTCTTCATGGGTGGTTTTAGTTCAGTGGTTAACGCGTTTAGGACATTCAGAACTACTTTAGAACCACCTTTGAGAACCACCTTTAGAACCACTATTGCTAAAACCTGCTCTTTGGGCCTTTCTTAAGTAGAAAAGTCATTAGGAGCTCATTAAGCAAGGGTCTTGTTCAAAATTCACATTTAATCACTGCAAAATGGTAAATTAAACTGCAAGTAATGACACAATTAGTCGAACTAATGTACAAATTTGTAACGAAAACATTATTTATATTCCAACCTTGAGTTGAGAGTCCTTATTCACATGAATTCTTTTCGCCAGGTGAGTTGAAAATTATAAAACAGCAAACTTAACTTAAATTTTTGAGTGTCTAACATGTCTCAGAAGACCACAATTGATCGATTCAGATGAAGTGAAAAGTCACGAGAGAAGAATTTGCTGCTTTGTAAAGACTTTTTCAGACTTATATTTGGTACTCGAATATTACAATAGAATTTTCAGACAATAAATAAATAAATAAACAAAAGTAACTAACAAATGCAGATTGCGAAATCGCCAAACTCCATCCGAATGTAGTCAAATGAAGGATGTCTTCTGCGGAAGATCATCGACCGGATCTTTGGATTGGTATAGATGATTTCCCTGGATTTAATCATTGAAAGTTAGCATCGGGTTGTCTTCTCGCAGGACTTTGCATACTTACATAATACAGTCTCTCGTGTAAGAAGCGCTGCAAGTCAAATACAGGTCAAAAGTCACAGACTCCAATTTGGTACAAGACCATATAATCTTCTCCATTATGTTCTCCACGCTGATGTTCTGCCTGTCCAAACCCTCGAAGGACACGTGCTGCAGATTCGGCTGCAAAGCCAGGAAGATGCCGATGCTCTGCAAAGAAATGCCTTGAGTGTAGGAGAAGTCCACCGTCGTCAGTGTTCCGTGCCGAGCGATGTGTTGGACGAACTCTTCAGTCACTGCTGTGTGGCTCAGAGTGAGACATTTGAGGTGTTTTAGTGCAAAATTCAGAGTTCCTTTGAAGTCGTAGGTGCACTTGTTGATGATCAATCTCTCGATCCGCGGATTGTTGCTGAGTATTTTGAAGAATGTCTCGTTCAGGACCATTGAATGACGAAGTGTAACTTCACGAAGTCGTCGGCAATTTTCCCCAATTGCCAGCCAAAAGTACTTATCACAAGAGGTTTTACAAGAGTTATCACAAAAGCCTTCAATTGAGCGCATATCGAGGATTTCGAGGCGCGAAAGCATTCTTTCGGCGATCAAACGATGGTCAATGGAAGTCTGCCAGAAACTATAGATGTCTGTTAATTTCAAGTGCGTCGCGATATGTGTTACGATTATGTCTTCGATAGGTAAATCAAAAAATGTCGTACTCATGATTCACTGTCTTTTCCTACGCTTCCTTGCGAAATATATCTTTCTTGTTCAGAAGTTCAAGCCCAAATGCTACCGAACACTTTCTTTTTCGTGTCTTATATATACACTGAAAAGATATTAGAAAATCGTTATTTGTTAAGAAGGTTAAAAATCTCATTCCGTTTAAAAGATCTCTTCATACTAGTTGGATGAACAAAGAAGTTCTTGATAATATTAATCTCTTAAACTGGTTAAAAGTCTGTTTTGTCGTTTTCAAGATCATTTCTTTACAATTTTCAATAATCTGATCACTTCTTCCTGTCTTTCAGGAATTGTGAAGCTTCTGAATGGAAACGTGAATGTTCAGGCCAACACACAGATCAATCGTCGTCCCATCACGACTAGGATCAACAACAGAGGCCCGCCGAGGATTTCTGAGGCTCAGCCAGTGGCAGAATTCGAAGCGACGCCGACGTCTTCGCTTCGTCCACCGCCACCGTATCCTTTCGACCGTCCAGAGGCGCCTGTGCGTCCCTTCCTCACGGGCGTGCCCATTCCCGAGCAGATCGTGCCGTCCATGCAGCAGAACTACCGTCCGGGCTTCATCTCGCAGAACCGGCCGCCGTGGCAGCGTCCGCGACCGCCCAGGCCGCCGCTCGGCACAAACACGCGGCGCCCCATTCCGCCCTACAAGCCGCTGCCGCTGTCCGAGCATTTGGCCGGCAAGGAGCCGCCCACGCTGGTGCCTTTCACCACGACCACAACGGAGATGGCGGCGGAAGGAAACGCAACGGACGCGAATCTGGACGTGAATTCCTACGAGGTGGCGATCGAGGGTGTCGAGAGTGGACAAGACGAGGCGCCGGTGAAAAAGGAAGAATTGTCGAAGAAGAAAGACAAGCCCAAGGCGACAGAGAAGAAGCCTGTGATTCCCGTGACGCCCTTCGAAGTCACCACCACAACTGAGATGGCCAGCATCGTTTCCTCCACGACAACGACTGAGATTTCGCCCTCAAGTGACCCTCCAGCGATCCTCATTGAGTCTTCCATTGAGGAGATTCCTGTTTCTTCATCCATGTCGACGGAGAGTCTGGAGAGAGTGTCGGAAGTGACGAGCATTCCATCGGAGAGTTCCTCAACGAGTACAAGAATCGAGATCTCTTCCTCAGAAGTTCAGGCTTCATCGTCAACTTCACACTCCACGATTCCCTCCTACCATCCTCGTCCGGGGATTGTGCTGGATGATCCGGAGTTCAAGCCTGGCCAGGGAAGACCGAGGCCTTCTCAGAGGCCGGCGAAACCTCATCCGTACGTGAGCAATTCAGCGCATCCGCCGGGCTATGGAGAGATCTTCGACGTCACTCTGTCAGCCATTCAGGGACCAACTGGTGGGAACTCCGGCGTGCAGACGGTGAACATCAAGCCATTTGGAGTGGTTGGATCTGGGGATATCATCGTCTCGCCGACGGGCGACGAGGGCTTCGTGTCGATTGACGGCAAGAGGACGTACATTAATCTGTTCGGGGAGCCAACGGAAGCTCCAGCCGCCGCCACGAAGACTTCCAGCCACATCAAGCCGACGCCCACGCTTCCGCCCACGGGCACGGGCTATGCCGTGGCGGAAACGGAGAGCGTCAAGCTGCCCCCCAGAGTGCCGCAGTACCGGCCCAGACCGCAGCCGCCGGTGAGGATCGACACGTGCATCGTGGGCGATGACTCGACGTGCGACCAGGCGCAGAATGAGAAGTGCAAGACGGACAACGGCGTGTCCAGCTGCCACTGCCGACCAGGTGAGAAAGTGTTCACTGGCATTCCTTTCAGATTCAACAATCCCGCTGTTTTTCAGGCTTCTCCCGGCGGAAGCACAGGGAGCCGTGCCGGAAAGTGGTGTCGCTGCTGATGTCGCTGCGTGTGGATCGAATCTACGAGCGGCGCGTTGTGTGGGACGCCAAGCTGGCAGATCGCGCGAGCGAGGCTTTTGGGCAGCTGAGCTTCGAGACGATGCGCGCCATCGACTCGGCCATGTCCATGACGCCCTTCTCGGATGAGTTCATGGAGGCGCACGTGAACGGCATCTACAGAGGTGATCCGGCCAAGGGATCGGCCGGCGTGTTCGTCAACGTGACGCTGCAGCTGGAGGAGAACGGCGACACTCTGAGACCGGCGCTCAAGGGAGACATTCAGAGGCACTTGCTGGGCGTGATTCACAGGTGAGTTGCTGGCTTCTCATCGTAACCATCGCTGACGGCGTTTTCTTCTGCAGACGCAACAACAACATCGGCAACTCGGCGCTGTACGTGGACAGTCCGCCGGGCGCCGTGACGAGTCTGCAGGACGTGGACGAGTGCATGTCGGCGGAGCTGAACGACTGCCATCCGGACGCGGCGTGCTTGAATGTGTGGGGCAGCTTCCGCTGCGAGTGCGCCGCCGGTCTGCGCGATCCGTGGGCGGATCAGCCACAGAGGGCGGGCAGGACTTGCCAGGCGTGTCCGGACGCCTTCTGCAACCACCGCGGCGTGTGCAGCTACGACGCCGCTGGCGCGCAGACATGCTCCTGCATGAGCAACTACTACGGCAGCCAGTGCGAGATCGACGGCGAGGTGTTGGGCGTGGCGATCGGCGCGTCTGTGGCGGCGGTGATCATCATCGTTCTGACGCTGATCTGCCTAGTTATGTGGAGCCGGCGGTGGCACAGGGAGCAGAAGAACGCCATCGGCAGCCCAGTGTTCGGCTACATGGCAGGCACGCAGGTGAAGACGCCGGTGATGGGCCAGGCGCCGTACCAGATGACGCTGGAGGACAGAATGCGCTGGGCGCAGATCGCCGACGTGATGGCGCAAGCCAATCACTACGCTGCCGAGCCTGTGGCGGCGTCCACGCGGCCCTCCTCGGCCATCTTCGGCTACCCGGGCATGCAGACGATGGCCAGTCTGAGCAACATGTCCATGGCGGGCACTCTGCCCATGCACTCTGGCACCATGCCGCCAGTGCCGCTTCCAAGGTAAGAATGTGATGCGCTAGTGAGTCCCAGAAATTGACGCCTGTGCTTTCAGACTGACCCTGAACAACCGCTCGAGCGGCATGAGGACTCTGGAGAACTCCAGCTCCAGCGAAGAGGAGGACCGAACGGATCTCCTGGGGCGCAACTTCCAGGTGCCGCGGCCCAAGTCGCGCAGCAACACGAGCGTCACAGTAAGTGAGCCACTTCTTGGCCGCGCGTCCAATTGCCGCAACAAGTTGGCACGACATGTGAAGACTCCTCAGAGTGATTTTGTCTACTTCCAGAACCAATCTGGCATCTACTACGATGTTGACTATGAACCAAATGCGGGTGATATGTACGGCGGCGGCCAGACGCCCAGTCACCCCATCCCGGGGCCCCAGGGCATCCCCATGAGCACGTACACGGCCGGTCGCGCGCCGGCGTCGTACTACATGAAGTGAGAGAGTCCTCGCGAGTCAGTAGCAATTAGACAGCGATTTATTTTGCAGTGTACATAGCTTAATTAAGGACAGTACTTTGTAATTAGGGAGTGTTTCTCTATTATTCACGCATTAATCCCATGTAAATTGTATATTTTCCACACACGATGTGAAATGCGCGCCGATATAGCAAATAAAGACAATGGAACGACGAGGATGTCTTTCACTGACCACCCGTCGCTCAGAAGAGGAAGCGTCAGGCTCTGCCTTTGGCAGCTTGTCCGCCGCTCTCGAGTTCAGATACTTGGCTCTGGTAGAACAATGCGTTCTGATACGCCTTCTTCACGGCCTTGCGCTCCTTCGGCTTGCGCGACTCCATCAGCTTGGCCTGGTCCACTTCCTTATCCAGCCCTAGCAGCTCCAGCTTGTTTACCGGCAGCCACTGCCACGTGCGCTTCACGTCGAAGAAGAGCACGAGGAAGACGGGTTCAGTGTTGTTCTTGCGCAGCGCCATCACGTCCTGCGGCGGCACCGGCAGCGGCACGCCGTTGTGCACGAAACCCTTGGGCATCTGCGGGTCGATGATGAGCGCCGGGTACCAGGGATAGCCGGTGCACTTCGCCCAGACGAGCTGCAAAGGCTCCAGGGACGCCGGTTTGTCCTCTCGCGCCGCTTTGGCCTCGTCATTGTCACTCGAGTGCATCTCGCTGTCGCTGTACGAAGAGTCATCGTCGAAACTGGAGCTGAGGGGAAAGATTTTGTGTTATAAAAACTGAATTAAAAGATTGAAGTCTCAGAAGACACGCCTACTTGATTTCCCCGCCCTTTATTTCCCTTCTACGCGAAACTTCGTCAAAATTAAGGTAATTAAGCTATATTTTACATTCATGCAATAAATCTGATCTAATCTGCGCAAAAGGCAGCTGCCAACGGCACGCGGTGTTCCCAGGCGGTCCCCCATCCAAGTACTGACCGCGCCCGACGCTGCTTAACTTCGGTGATCGGACGAGAACCGGTGCTTTCAGCGTGGTGTGGCCGTTGGCGAGGGAAGATCTTCATTTCACCTGGTCATCGTGATTTGGCGTGTGCTTGTAACCACTTTAAATTACTCTCAAGCGCATTTAGTGAACAATGGACATCGCTTATGACCGAATTAGCACATTCCCATGAAAAATGAGAAATGGAAGATCAAAAAAATGACCAATCAAAGTGATTAATTTCCCTCGCCAACGGCCACACCACGCTGAAAGCACCGGTTCTCGTCCGATCACCGAAGTTAAGCAGCGTCGGGCGCGGTCAGTACTTGGATGGGGGACCGCCTGGGAACACCGCGTGCCGTTGGCTCTCTTTTTGCCTCGATTTTCCCTGATTCACTCACCCGAAGTCCGATCCAGTGCCGTCGTCCATGAAGCCGCTGCAGCTGCTGCACGTGCTGTGCGTGAAGCTCATGTCGCTCTCATCGGAGTCCGGAACGTCCTTCTTCGGCTGCGCCCTGTACAGCCGGAAGCTGTCCGGGATGCTCTCGAAGGGCTGCTCCTTGACGGGCGACGACTTCTTCGGACTCCCGCTCGAGCTGGGACTGAACTTCTTCTCCTTCTCCGTCGACGTCGCCTTCTTCCTGCCCGGCTTCCGAGCGACCTTAAACTTGTCCGCGATGGGAACGTCGCAGGAAGAGTCCTCCTTCGTGGGCAGATCGGGCTTCTTGAGCGCTGCCTGGGCTTTCCTCGTGAACAACACCGCCGTGCGTCTGTTCACACCAGATGGCGAGGCGGAATTGTTGGCCGTCTTCACGGGACTGCACGGCGGCGTCTTGGCGTTCTGCTCCTCGTGCTTCACATCCTTGGACGCTGTCTCCTTCGCCGCGGCCAGAGACTCCGCCTCGCGTTCGCTGGTCTCCTGCTTCGTGATGGCACGCTTCATCTTCGAGATCTCCAGTTTGATCTGGCGCACGCGCTTCGTCTTGGTCAGTCCGTGACGCGCCACTGCGCGCTCCAACAGGATCTGCAGCTTAGTCACGATCTTCTCCGTGGGCGGCTGCTGTAGCAGCATCTTCACCTCCTCGTCGATCTCCTGGCCCACGATCTCGTCCGTCTTCTTCACACTGATCAGGCCCTCCTTCTCCAGATCCTTGCGCACCGCCTTAAACAGCGCGCCACCTTGATCGCGCATCCTGGCGCCGGCGCGATAGAAAATCGTGTCCTTGTTGTTGTACGCCAGACAATTGCGGATCATCAGATCGAAGTCCGCCTCGAGATCGTCGAGACTCTCATAGGCGCCGCTCTTCAGCTTCTCCGCCATCGTGCTGAGATCCATCGGATGCTTAACGATGTCCATGTAATCCGGCACCTCGTTCACGTCCACGGGCTCCCGGAAGATCTCAGACGTGTCCTTCTGCTCCAGTCCCTCCAGCAACTTGTGCATGGCCGCCTCGACTGGGTTCAGTTGCATCATCAGCGTCTGCTCCTGCACCTTAATCAGCGCCACCTTGAGCTTCTCCCGCTTCCTCACCAGCTCGCACAGTAGCCGCGCCCTCTCAAGATCCTGTCGCAGCGATTGCCAGTACTTCAGTTGCTGGTACAGCTCCGAAGTGTCCGGCGAGCCTTCAATCCCACTCCTGGCCGCCGCGAAGGTGCTGTGCGACTGTCCCTGACTCTGCAGGCGCCGCAGCAGCGGAACACCGTTCCTGTACTGCCTCTTCAGCGTCCAGTACGCGATCAGGCGCTGGATGAAGGGCGACTTCTTCTGGATGTTCACCAGCTGCGCGATCTCCTGCACGCGCTCAGGCGGAATAGTGGGAATGAGGATCACCGGCACGGACGTGCGCTTCTTCGCCAGTAACTTCCGCGCCTGCTTCATCTTGTTGCGCGACTCCTCGCGCGCCTTCTCTGTCGCCTCGTCGGGCGCCTCTGTGCTGCCCGCCGGCGTGTGAGCGTCGCAGTACGCCGTCTTCTGCACAATGATGGGCTGCGCCTCAGTGCCAGTCACGCTGTCGCGCACCGTGTCCATTCGCATGTGCAGACCCGCTTGCTGGGCGCACGTGACGTGAAAGGCGGCATAGCAGTTCGTGCGGTGGCATTGGATGCACGCGCCCACGGACTTCTGCTTGCAGATGTAACACGAGAGGCGCCAGCGCGCCGTGGGGATGGTCTCGATGGAGTCGATGGGCTCCAGGAAGACTGTGTTTGCGAAGCGCACCTCTGGAATCCACAGCGCACACACAACGTGTGCCCACTGGCCACGGTCGGTCTGCTTGAAGGCGCCGCCCTTGTTGGGGCACAGCACGCAGTCCACCGGGCGGCTGGGCGACTGCAGACAGCGCCGGCAGAGCCATTGACCCTCGGGAATGTACGGCACGCCGTAGCAATCCTGATGCACGGCCAAGTTGCACATGTCGCAGAAGAGGATCACGTTCGTGTTCTGGCACTCGCCGTCCATGCAGATGCAGCACACGGCGTCGTCGTCCACCACGGAGCCGCTCTGCCCATTGGCTGCGGCCTGGAAGTACGACTCCTTCTCCAGTCGATCCATCAGCAGCTCCAGCGAGTCCACGCTCACCGGATTCAGTCCCTGACTCTGCCGTTTCTCGTTGATGATTCCCAGCCACGTGGTGTCCTCCTCGTCCACGTCGTACTCCACCTCGCCGTCCAGCTCCTCGGCGGACTTCTCGATGAACCGGATGTAGGCGTTCGGCCGCGGCGGAGCGTCGCAGATGTTGTAGTTCTTCAACTCCTTCACCGCCGCTTCAGGCAGCTTAATGTGTGGCTCTGGAGGTGGATCCGCCGCCAGCGGGCCATATAGCCTTTTGTACTCTTCCAGATCCATCAGCGGAAGATCCTCGTCCACCGACAGCTGCATCGTGCGCCCCTCAATCTCGAACTGAACAACGCCCAGCGCTTCGTTGTACGTCACAGCTTCTTTGGGCGTCTCAGCCGGCGGGGCTTGCTGTGGCGCCCCCGGCACGCGCGTGCGGCCCTTCTTGCGCGACGGCGTCACCACGGGCGTCACGGTGGTGCCGGTGTCGTGATCGAAGTTCAGCAGATGGTACTGCATCCCAATCGCCGACTTGTAGGACTTGTCGCACTTCTCCACGGGACATTTGTAGGGCGGCGCGGATGCTCTGATGGTCTTGATGAATTCCACCACGTCGAAATCTTGCCCCATACTGCGCTTGGCCAATTCCATCAGCTTTTCCTTTGGAAAAAGGCCGAAAATGCCACAGAAAATGCTCTCTCTTCACGCGGTAAACAACAACACTCACTTCACTGGCATGCAAGACAAACACCTGTCAGCCAGTTGTTGCGCTCTTCGCCGCCAGAGGGTCAGTAGGGGAATTCACTGGAGTGTTTGAAGGTCTCGAGTGTAGCATTTATCGCCTTTTTATCGCTAAAAAGGCAATTTCAAGTGTTTTATTTCACAATATTCAATCAGTCAAGTCCTCAGGCACACGACAAGTACAAGTGCTTGGCAATTCAGTGTGAAAATAGAGAGAAAAACAGGTGTTATTCCACATATTTTGCCCCTCCCGACAGAATTGACCAGTGCAAAATGAGACTGAGCAAAGTTGATCCGAGTTCTTTCTCGAACGCCGGTAAATTTATCTTCATTCTTTGCGCTTTTTTCAAAAGAATTAATTGGTTTTCTCTGGTTATCAGATGAAATCGTCACGACGCATGTCAAGCTGGATTGGACGGTGGACTTCCAGAGGAGTGTCTTGAGCGGAAGCGCGGAGATTTCGATGAAAATCACGGCGACTCAAATCGACCAAATCGTGAGTTCACCAACATTTTTGCTTGAGGAATTAGTTTTTATCTGTTTATCTCGGTGTTTTCTCAGTTCTTGGACGTCAGCGATCTCAAGATCTCCGGTGTGAGTCTCGTGCAGCCGGCAGGATCCTTCCCGGTCACGTTCAGCGTGTCGGATTTCACGGAGAACATCGGATCGAAGCTCACGATCGATCTGCCCACGATGACGTCTGGGAAAGTGACGCTGCTGGTGGAATACGAGACCTCGCCAAAGGCCAGCGGCCTGCTGTGGCTCTCCAAGGAGCAGACACTGGGCAAGGAGCATCCCTACCTCTTCAGCCAGTGCCAATCCATCCACGCGCGCTCGCTCATGCCCTGTCAAGACACGCCGGCCGTGAAGTTCCCGTACTCGGCCAGAGTGCGCCATCCGGAGGAGCTCGTGGCGCTCATGAGCGCCATCCAGAGCGACAAGCAGAAGGGCGTGACGAGCTTCGAGCAGACAGTGCCGATTCCCAGCTACTTGCTGGCCATCGTCGTGGGAGATTTGGTCAGCGAAGACTTGTCGCCGATGTGAGTATTGAGCTCTCAATTGAGTCAATTGAGTTAACTTCTCAATTAGAAATATTGACACCAGTTCCGACTCTAATCGTCTGATCTCACATTCAATGAATTTCGATTCAATTCCTGTCTATTTTGCTGTTCAAAGTAAAAAAAAAATTTGCAACGCATGTAAAATGAGTCACAAATCAAAGATATTGCATTACTCATTGTATTCTTTCTCCTTCTGCAGCACCAGAGTGTGGGCGGAGCGTGATTTGGTGCGTGAGGCCGCGCAGGAGTTCAGCGAGACGAGCGTTTTCCTGGAGAAGGCCGTGGAGATCTGCGGTCCGTACGTGTGGAAGCGCTACGATTTGCTCGTGATGCCGCCCAGCTTCCCGTTCGGCGGCATGGAGAATCCCTGTTTGACCTTCGTCACGCCCACAATCATTGCCGGCGACAAGTCGTTGGTCAGCGTCGTGGCGCACGAGATCTCGCACTCGTGGACGGGAAATCTGGTGACGAACAGGAACTTCGAGCACTTCTGGCTCAACGAGGGCTTCACGGTGTTCGTGGAGGACAAGATCAAGGGCGCAATCAATGGGGAGGCGTTCAGGGACTTCTACTCCTTGCTGGGTCTGAGTGAGCTCAAGGACTGCATGAATGTGCAGCTGAAGGACAAGCCGGAGATTCAGAAGCTGGTGCCGGATTTGACGGAGTTGTCGCCAGACGACGCGTTCTCCACGGTGCCGTACATGAAAGGATCGACCTTCCTGCGATATCTGGAGAATCTCTTCGGCGGACCGAGTGTCTTCGACCCCTTCTTGCGCTTCTACTTGAACAAGTACAAATTCCAGTCGATCGAGAGCAATGACTTCAAGAGCACCGTTTTCGAGTACTTCCACGAGAACAAGTACAGCGAAATCCTCGCGCAGATTGATTGGGACAAGTGGTTCTTCAGCCCTGGCATGCCGCCAGAAGTGCCGGCTTACGACACGAGTCTCGTGGATGCGGCTCAGAAGCACGCACAGCTGTGGAAGGACTCTCAGGATATCCATGAGATCGAGAACTCGCCGCTCTTGCAAACGCCGCTGTCCAGTCTGCAGATTGTGGAGATGCTGTCGAAGTTGCTGGATCAGAAAGTCGTCTTCGGCAGCGACAAACTGACCGCCTTCACGAAGGCTTACAAGTTCGCCGAGACGAGGAACTCGGAGATCAGATTCAGATACTTGAGAATGTGCATTTTGGCGCGCAATTTGGACTCACTCGACGACATCTTCGCCTTCGCCAACAGCAACTTCCGCATGAAGTTCACGCGGCCGCTCTACAAGGAGCTCTCCCAATGGCCGGAGGTCCGTGAGCGCGCCATCGAGAGCTTCCATCAGCACAAGGACGAGATGATGAGAACGTGCGCCGTCCAGGTGGCCAACGACATGGGAATTGCGGTCTAACAATGATACAATAAATTTATTATGCAATCAAATGAGCACAGATTTGCGAGGGCGCAATGTTGTCGTGGGCGTCACGGTGGACGCCTGGTCGTCATTCTCATCCAACACGGTTTCTTTCTCCAGGCTCAGCCGGATGAAGAAGATGGAGGCGCTCGTGGCGAGGCAAATTGAGCCGACAATCGCCAAAACCTGCACACATTGCAAAGTAAGAACTTGGGTAAGAAGATTAATTCAGTTATTTCCACAAGGTGAAGCGCAAAAATTGCAAGGTTTTCTCTGCACGCGCACTTTCAAAGTGTGACGAAAGAGAATTTTATTGCCAAATTAAGAAATGTAAGTTTTCTTTTGGAAAAGATAATGATGTAGAGGGTTTTTGGGATCAATTCTATCAAATTAGGAAACTGTTTTCGTGTTTCTTTCCCTTTCTTCTAAGGAAATAATTGAAAAATACGGATTGTAAGTTAAGTAATTATTCTCTTCTGGAGTCAAAAATTAATCCAATTATCGCGAAAGAGTTAAAAAGTATCCTAATCGCTAATAAAAATCACACTGAAGTCTCACGACTGAAAAGCGGTACAATTTGTGTGAGTCACCGTGTACTTACGCTAGGCAAATACTCGGACGGCACGCGCACGTCGTCCGACGTGATTGTGACGATGGAGACGCTGAGCAGCGTGATGCAGAACATCATCGTGCAGACGGTGTCCGTGATGTTGAAGCAGCGCAGCGCGCATTTCACGGCGCCCGTGGCGAACATGAGGTAGAGCAGCAGACAGCCGGCGCCCGTGGCGGCCGCCGTGATGGGGAAGAGCAGACCCGCGAGGGCCGTGTAGAAGTGGTGGATGAGTGCGCCGGCGACGATCAGCACGATGCCGATGAGCTTGAGAATGCCCTCGGGCGAGATGATGTAGCGCGACTTGGAGAACTTCTTCTCGCCAACGATGGACATTTCGCGCGCGACTATCGAGTGTGTTGTGCGTCGGAAATTGGCGCGCGATAAAGCGACCAAAAACGCGACAGATTGCTGATTTTCGCTAATGGAATTGATAGCAGAAGTGCTTCCGTGTCTCGAAAGAGGACGGGAAAAAGACAGTGGGAAACGCGCTTCGCCACGCAGTGCGAATCCCGAGAAATTCTAGTCATTATGAGCACGAAAGTGCACTTGAAATTGCTCAAACAACGCGTTATGATCAACTTTACTGCACATTTTATGTAAGAGAGTTTCTCGTGTAATACTTAACGTGTTTCATTTCACTTAGTTTCACATGTTGAGGAGAAATTTCAACAAGTGTGTAAAATAGTTGCGATAAGAGGCGGAATTTGAGTGGGTTTTTCTTCTTTTAATGTAGATAACATTGAAATAATCATGAGAACTTGCTGAGGAAGAAAAGATGCTGAGAAACTTGAGGCTTGCGAAGTGTTCTTAAGACACACGATGATGAAATGAGTGAATGTCAGAATTTTTACGGCTCTTTTTGCGCAACGAATCTGCGAAATGCAACTCAAGGCGTTCATTTCAAGTCTTTATTCTTAATTCATCGTAGTTTTGATATGTTATCTTACCAAAGAGAAGTACAAAAAAATAATTACTTCGCGTAGAAAATGATTGTAGAAAAGGTATTCGAGAGTGTGTTTCGCACGTCGGCGCCTCAGTAGAGCATAATCACGCCCTGCGTCTTCTCGTCACAGAGCAGCTCGGGCGGCACGCGGTGCTCCTTGCGCTCCAGGAGCACGGCGATGATGAGGCAGACGATGTTGAGCACGACGATGGCAATTCCGAGGACGAGGATGTGGAAGCTGAGGCCGAGGCGCGCCAGACCGCCGGTGTACCACAGGTTGCTCTGGTCCTCGCGCGACAGCACGTTCTCGTGCAGGTGCAGCAGGAACTGCGCCAGCCAGCACGCGAAGGCGATCAGGTGCGACAGCACGGACGCCACGTTGGCGACGAACAGCAGCACGACGGTGCCTTTGCGCTTGCGGCGCGACGCCGACTTGAGGATGGCCGCGATGCCGCCCACCGTGCTGCTGAAGAGCGCCAGGCCGCCGCCCAGCGCCGTGCCCAGCCACAGCCAGTAGCTCATGAGGTCGGGCTCGGCTGCGATGAACGCCGGCACGGAGATGTCGTGCTTGCGCGCGCCATAGCCCACGTTGAGCTCCTTGGTGCCGGCGAAGAGGCCCAGGTTCACGCGGCCCGTGGACTCGCTGCTGTTGTGTCGGCGCGCGTCCGCCTCCACCCAGCGATCCGTGGTGAAGGCCGCCACCAGCAGCCCCACGGCCACGAAGTTGCCCAGGAACGTGACGAAAACCAGAGAGCGTGTTTTCAGGCTCATCTCATAACTCTGCGGAGGGAAAAGGGGGTTTTTTGATAAGCTTCGAGTACATTTTGGTGTGAGTCACATTTGTAGAAAGCAATTTGCAAAAGGGAACTTGCAGTTTAAGTGCCCAAAATCATAATCATGTTATAGCAATTATCAATCTCTTGAAAAGCAGGGAAAATCGATATATTATTTGCACGCAAATAAAGCAAAAAACACTTGAAATTTGGTTTTAGCTCCAGAATCGAATTAATCAAAGGGTTGTTTTTGTGGTCAATTGTGTGGTTTTTATTAAATCCTGCCGAATGAAACATTTCCAGTGGAATTTCGACCATCGCAAACCCTCATCAAGGGGCCGAAACGTGAGCCTGCAAGTCGATGGGCGGCCAAATTGCCTCCCATCCGCACTAATTGCTGGCAAAGCCGAGCCTCGGGCGAGTGTTTAGTCATCAGAAATTATATTTCGCCTTTGCAAATCCCGATTAACTGGCAAAAGCCGAGCTCGAAGCGACCGAGGAATAATTGGTCATTCTCGATTCTGGGCAGCTGGATAATTCCATTTGCCGATAAGCGAATTTATATCGAATAAATACATATTTGCATTGCGAGCGCACAATAAATGAATCGAAATCCACACATGAATGAGATTATCTGTTTTGGGCGCTTCGCAGCGCTTTTTCCACTGTACAAATTTCCGAAGTGCATTGAATTTTGGGCGCGTTTTGGGCAGTTGGAGAAATTCTCGAACAATTGTCCTTTGTCACGAATTTGTAGGCTTCAGCGAGAAAGAACAATGAGCAGCCCTGAAAAGCGCCGAGTGTGCATTGAAAATATTGATATTTGTTTTTGTCACTTCGCGCTGTCCCACAAAATCTCTGCAGACCACGAAAGATTTCAATGCTACCTCGATGGATGTTCAGAATTGGCGCTGCGGAGGACGAAAATCGTGCTCACAATTGCGCCAAGGCAATTGAAAATGGGATTTTTGATTCCATGAAGGGGCTTTTGTGGGGGAAAATAGCGAGAAAACTGTGTTAAATTCGAGATGCGGAATGCAAAGAGTGTCACTTTGATGACAAAGGGCGAATCTTTGAGCAACCTCATTTCATGATTTCTCCCAATTCCCCAGCGAAACACCGTGCATAACTCACCTGAAATGGTGTTCAACTAATCGAAATCACTTTTGTGTCAGCAGAAGAGTCAGAGGAATGGTATCATAATTAAAATACACTATTTTTAGAGATGTCGTGATTACCAAACACTGCACTGCACTCGCTTACAATGGAGAATCATGGCGACTGTCGTGACAGTTTAGCGGTAAAACGGCGCCGTTAAGTGTTTCGTGTTTCATGGTTTCAAAAGAGTTTCTCGCCGCAACAGTCGTTCCCCCCCAAATTGCCAACAACAAAAAGGCGAAATATTGTTAAAAATACATATTTAATATGAGATACAATCCATTTCATTGTAGACTTTATATATGGGTTCACATTTAATAATAATAATTCGATTTCAACACCAGTTAACATTCCGATGAACACAACGTCTGCTTTTCTTTGGTATGTTTTTAGACAGAAAAATTTTCTTGTGGTTCTTTTCGATACACTTAGATAGAAAATGTGTGGTTTTTACAGATATTTTGTCGCTGAAATGGCCACTTGAGACAGCAATACAGTGAGATTTACAGAAAAAGACATGAAATTACGAACATTTCCTCCGAAAAAGTTATTAGAACAATTAGAATGATGAAAATCACGCTTGAAGAGCGACCCAGCTGACCATCTCTTCGCGCGATGATCTGAAGACAAAGTGTTTTATTCCCATTTTTCCATATTAACATCTCTTTCAAACTTACATATTTCTGAACGTCCATTAAATTAACGATACTTATTGTCTTCCAAAATGCTTCTCTTTGGTATATGGTTGTTCCTTTTGTTGGAAGATATTTAGCTATAGACTTTTAGTGTACTGTGTTAAGATATGGCTTTGACTAGTTGATAGTGGGTTACGATGTGGTGAATGATGGGTTATTTTGGAAGTTACAACATCGTATTACATAGTAATATCATATTCAGATACATGAAATATTAATGGTTCTATTGATAAAGTTGTGTGTGCGTGTCTACGAATATACTCTTAGATGTACTTTTCCAAATCCGCGTGAAAGTCATGCAAATATGCAATGAGTTGTGGGAAAGAAGGTCGCTGCGCGTGATCCTGAAGCCAGCAACACGACATCACAGTGTAGCTGCGAGGGAAACCGCCAATTATTAGTCGAATAGTGGGACATAACCTCAATTTTCCAACTACTCACAATTCATCAGGGCAGTTGACGGGTTGGGCCAATCGATACCCGTCCCTGAGATAGGCCTCCAACTCGAAAGGATCGACTTCCTCGTATGGCATCGCTGCCAGCGTCGTGAGCTCCCAAAACAGCACTCCCAGACTCCAGACGTCACTCGATATCACGAAGAGTTTCTTCTGGAGCGTCTCCAGGGCCAGCCATCGCACGGGCCTGTTCTCATTATCGCCCAGGCAGTGGTAGTCGTCTGGGAAGAGATCCCTGGACAAGCCACTGTCGCAAATTCGCACATTCATCTCAGCGTCGATGCTGCAAAGTGAGGTTATGTAGCTCAGTCTACGAATAGCCCTACTAATAGCGCAACTTACACGCAATTGCGCGTGGCCACATCGCGATGCAGAATGCCGATGGAGTGCAGATGGGCCAATCCTCTGGTGACTTGCAAGCCAAACTCAACTAATTGATGTGTGCTCGGAGGATTGGAATTCTCCCGGCTCTTCTGCAGATAACTGGAATTGCAGATGAGAATCGTGAAAATATTTACACACAGAGCTGCCGAGGAAAAAATCAATACGCACAGTTTGAGGTTCCCATTGAGCGGCCACGGGTAGGCGATTTGGGGTGGGCCTGGCAGTTCCATGCACGCCGCCACGGGACTGTGCAGATTGGGATGCGAAACTCCCATGAGGATGGAACCTTCAGTCAGTAAAAAGGCAACTTGTGTCAGAGAAGCACCATCTGTGGAGGGGAGAAATTTTCCAATTCAATGAAATTTCCAATGATTGTAAAACCCGGCGAACTTTGCCAATTCTGACGCTATCACGGAGCGTTATCAGGTGTGAATTGAAAGTGAAAAGTTTGGACTGGAGAACAATTGGCGCAAAGTTTCTTATAAAAGCATGGGCAATCAAAGGGTGTCGGAAGAGAGGGGTATTTAGCAGTCTGGCGATGTAAGAGGAGTTGGACGTAAATGTATAAGCAAAACCCAGCGTTAATTAGAATTTTGATACCGCGAAAACATTGTGTCAGGTGAAATATGTAAAACAATATCTCTCTTGCTGCATGGCTGAGCTTATAATGGATTAAATTTGAGCGTAATTTTCATGAGCTGAACATTAAGAACACAATATGGATTGTATATCTTTACATTGATTTGATTTATTGTGTATTAAATTTTGTGATTTTGCCTACTATTTATGAAAATTATGAGCAAAATTCAGAACATATTACTGCAAGCATAACGTAAGGCTTTCAAAGTGACCATTGTGTAATACAATATTCTGGCTTCTGGTATATTTATTTCGGTTCGTGCTGTTTATTTTTTAAATTCACCGAATTAATGAGTTTTTGCAGATTTTAATTATCAATTCACACTTTGACAACGTATTATCACAGAATAAAAGTTTAATCAGCCTTTAATGAGGTGTCAACGCAGACTCTTGAAAATTTGATATTTTTCGCACACGATAATTGCGACACTGTATAACGTTGACGAGGACAGGGGGTAAATAAAGAGAGGAGAGGGCGAGACTTTGATGAGAGATAGTCCATTATTCACCGGAAAACTATCGGCGCGTCCCCTGAATTCCCGCTGATTGCGAAATGAAATGTGATATATGGTCGAGGGGGTGGAAATTCCCCCTAAAAATCGTGCCTGTTCAAATATCGCATTGACCCGAAAATCGATTCTGTAGCACTTCATTATCCCGAAATTGTCTCCCTTTTATCTGCAAACGTCCCCTAAGCCAGAGCACTCACCTACGACAGTCTTTACGAGCACTTCGTGCGCCTCTCCAGTCAGCGCGTTCTGGAGGATTCCGCTGTAGATACGCCCATATGTTCCCTCCTGGACGACGTCCCGGCAGTGGATGGTTCCCTGCGGCACGGCGACGCGCCTCAGCTTGTCCTTCGGGTCGAACACGTTGCTGTGAAAGCTGCGCGGCGTCGACAGGCTGCAAATCTGTCACGCAATATCACGTGAATTTCAGTGAATGTGGTCAGGTGTAAAATTGACTCTTTGAATTAATAAATTGGCGCCACGCTGGAATTTTTTCCTCTCTGTATCGCAGAAATTTGTGTCCCACATGAAATATGGCTTTCGTGCCGCTCCCAACGCGCGCTGAAAGCTCCCAATGGGAATTTGAATTGCAAAGCAATTAAATAATTGGGTGGCGCGCCGAGTCAAAGATAGCGTGAAGGGATTATAATGAATTATTAAAATGCTCTTGACGTCTTATTTTGTGATGTTTTTGCTAATTTGGAACAAAGCTTGAATTCTGTCACGATTTCAGGCCTTTCACGCGCAAATACAAAAGACCCTTTCTTTTATTGTATTTTTTAGAAGGAATTTGTCAGAACACATTAATCTCCATTCTTTCACTTATTTTTTATCGAGTTTACATATAAACTATCTAAAATCTGGGATAATCAGACAAATATCTTTTAAAGTTCTTCGATTCCCAAAAGTGATAGGAATTTAAAAAGATAACTTTACAGTCTGCAACACTTTGGAACTGTTTTTAATGATGTCTCGACAGATCTCTTCGAACTTAGCTGAACGTTTTCTCATGCATTTTTCAATTGAAAAATACTCATGGCCGCGCTATTTTTGATCTGATATTCGGTAAAGAATTTTCTGAATTTGTGGAAAAATGTTTTCAAAGCTCCGCCTATTCATAAGCCCCGCCCACTCGCGAAAGCACAAAAACGACTTATCAAAATTGTGTCAATTACGTCAATTACAGTCATGGGAAAGGACAATTACCTGAGTCAATTGAGAAGAAGCGTAGTAGGAGACGCGAGACGGGCAGAGAGATTCGGGCTTGGAGTAGATCGTCTCTGCCACCTCTTGTGCCTGCGGCAGAGCCAGTAGAGCTGTGGCATATGGCGATGGCGAGGACGGCTTGCCGAGCCCTATGAAATTGCGCAAAAATCGCTAGTGATTACAATTCAAACGGCAAATCGCTCTCGAGGGAGACACTCACAGTTCTTCTTCGACTCCGCCAGCGGGAATTTATTGAGGCTGGTGATGGTTGCGTACGAGTCGCTGTTGATGCTCGCCGGGCGTCCCACAGCATCCAGGCGGATGAATACATTCTGATTGCTGCCGTATGCCGCCGTGGTGAAGCTGGTGCTGAGGGTGAAAGAAGTGCCATTAGGCGAATGGCGAGGGGTGGGAAATTGACAGACTCTCGCAATGTGATAATTCATTCCCAGGGCGGAATAATGCGAAAACTTGTAGCAGTTTATAACGTTTTATGGGCTGATTAATTATTTTGATAATTTTTTGGGCTCTTCCAGAGGGATGAGAGTGCGTCGATGACGCCGCAGGCCATCAGGCACTTTTGGAGCTCAAAATTATGAATATTTAATTGATATAGTGGCGCTTGGGATCATTTTGTGCTTCGGCCAACTAATAAAGGCCATATTTTTCGGGAAATTGATATTATTTTGCATGTTATTCGAAATGGTCGCGGTTTTTTGGGGGATGGGCGAATTGATGAGTTGCGAAGGGAGAGCAAATACCACATCGCCAACATTATGAGCAATGAATAAATATTTGGTTGATAAATGAAGCAATTTCCAGTTTTAATCATTTTTGAATTCATTTATGGACTCACATATCAAGAACACTTAATCAAGCCGAAATTGAATTAATGTGTGTAAATTGAAATTGAAAAATTCTGTCGCTCTCATTTCCCGGTTGGGAAACACGTACGTTTTCCAAATGAGTTTCTAATGTCCTGAAAGGACTACATACTATGAGTATTTCTATTCCTGGATCAGTTCTGGTTGCAATATCCAATAATTCAGAATTAAATTGTCATCCAGTATTTCTAGCATTGCCACAATATCGATATTTCTCTCCATTTGAATATGCATTCATCGTGACTTCAAATTGTTGGACATTCAGCGTGAATGAAGATGAAGATTTTAAATAAAACAGACAATGAAGAATTGCTGACATTCTATCGATTTAACAGATCATTGTGGACTGAGATGACAAATCAAGAAAAATTAATTCCTAGTGAGTTGACAATGGAAAGAAACAATGTTTGTGTTCTTGGAAGTGCTGAGGATTTCATCGCTTACAGTGAGTGCGGAATTTGGCACAATAAATACAATAACGATGTTGAAATTCACGACATGGAAATTTTAGTCGGCAGTCGACTTCATCGTGATAATTTTAGCGTTGAAGATTTGAGTAATTTAATCAGAAACACATCGAAATTCTTGATTGCTTTTGATCTAAGCTATCGTCAAATATTCTTGTATAACAAAAGTGCAACGAATTGTCTTTACAATTGCACAGATTTGCTTAACTATTGGCATGAAAAACAAAACATCGATTTTGAGGAATTGAAAAAAAAACTTACAATTATGAACTTATAGTTACCATAAGTATTATTATTTTGGTCGTTTGTGGGTTTTGCATTGTGTGCAATTTGCATTGCTTCAAGAAGAAATAATCATGACAAATTTATGTAATAAATATTATTTGACGAAACAGTGACTTTTTCTATTTCTCAAGACTTCTTTCCCAAATTCTTGTCATTATTGTACAAATTTGAACCATTTCTCATGACTGAGTTGCCAAACCTCTTCTAATGAGTTTCTAATGATTATTTACACCCTGTAATCTTTTCTATGCTCAGTTTTCTATGTGATTTTTGGGCAAAATGTTGCCCTTAACACTTATTTTGAGTGCTTTTTTGATCTTTTCTACCGCATTTTCAATGCGAATTCCCAAGAATTGTAAAATTCTTTCAAGAGGAAAATTTAATACGATAGAGATTGATTGGCATCCAGTGTTTTACGCATGGCCTTATTACAAATATGCTTTTCCTTTTATATGCTCTTCGCTCATGAGTTCTTCTTGTTGGACTTTCAATGTGAGATCTCCGAAAACATTCGATTACGCCTTCGGTATAGAATATTCGATGGATTATAAAAGATTGCGTATGAATAATAAAACATTCAATGCTGAATTGATGAAATACGACGAATTGTCATATATGAAAGAATACAAGATATCTTCATTTAATCAAGTACTGCAACAAAGTGAAGACTTTATCGCTTACAGTGAGTGCAATATTTGGTATACCAGTGCGGATAACACTGCTCACGACATGGGAATCGTGGTCGGAAGTCGACTACATCCCGATGATCTTCGCGCTGAAGATTTGAGTGATTTTGTGAAAAATATTACGGATTTCATATCAGCCTTTGATCTTGTCGATCGTCAAATTTATCTGCATAACAAAAGTGCCTCGAATTGCATTTATAACTTCATTGACTTGAGTTTTTGTTCTTCTGCAGAAAACCGAAAAATTGATGTTAAAAAACACGACGAATCAAAAAGTTATGAATTAATAATAATCATAGTTGTCATAAGTATTATTATTTTGGTCATTTGTGGCATTTGCATTAAATGCTATTTGCATTGTTGTAAGAATTGGTGTAAGAAAAAATAATGATTGTTAGAAATTGTTCCATTTAGAAATCTGGTTTCATCATTCTTAGGATTTGTTACGAAACACTTCTCCAATGAGTTTCTAACGACCTCAAATATCAATTTCATATAATAAGTGTTTCCTTTCTGTTGAATCACTTTTAGCTTAAGTGTAGCAAAATGCAGTTCTTTTCCTTCGTGTGCATTTCTGCAAGTTTACTGGCTTTGGGACAATCAAAAGCCTCTACTAGGAATTGTTCAACAGTTTCGGGAATAAAATCACCCAAAAAATTTGTATATTGGCATCCAGTTTTCTACGCTCTTCCAGAGTTTCGTGAAAACAGCTTGTTTTCATATTTTCTATTCATGACTTCATCTTGCTGGTTGTTCGAGATTGAACATGGATATGAGAGTACTAATTTCGCTTATAGAACAAATCAGGATAAACTTGATGAAATTTGCTACAAGGATCTTTCATTCTGCGATAAATTGGTTGAGAAAAACGAAAGAATTCCTTTTGATTTATCTTACAATTTTAAAGAAGTGAACGTTCAGATTCTGCAGGAAAGTGAAGATTTCATCGCTTACAGTGAATGTCGAATTTGGTACAATATATACAATAATTTTTCCCAAATTCACGACATGGCAATCTTAGTGGGAAGTCGTCAAGACCCTGAAGATTTTCGCAGTGGAAAAGTGTCTCAGGATGATTTTTCTAAAAATTTGGGTGAATTTGTGAAAAATTTATCGAAAATTATCAATTTGTTCAATATTACTGATCGTCAGGTTTATGTGTACAACAAAAGTGTCACGAATTGCGTCTATGATTGCTACAATTCCTCTACTTGCGTATCTCAAGAAATAAGTAACGAAAATGGTCAAAATGGTACAAATATAAATTTTTCAGATACAAATATTGTTGTCATAATTTCAGTGGTTTTGACCATTTGTTGCTTTTGCATTGTGTGCAATTTGCGTGGTTGTAAGAATCGTTGTAAGAATTTGTGTAAGAGAAAATAATGATTATAATGTTGGAAATTGCTTTCGAAGAGTCCATTTGGAAATATGATTTCCTCATTCATTCGATGTTTGTATGAACTTGATTACGAAACGCTTTCTCCAATGAGTTTTTAACGATCTAAAATATGTTCATATAATAAGAATTTTCTTCTTGTTCAATCATTTTTAGCTTAAGTGTAGCAAAATGCAGTTCTTTTCCTTCGTGTGCATTTCTGTAAGTTTACTGGCTTTGGGACAATCAAAAGCCTCTACCAGGAATTGTTCAACAGTTTCGGGAATAAAATCGCCCAAGAACTTATTTGATTGGCACCCAGTTTTCTACGCTCTTCCTGAGTATCCAGAAAACGGTGTATTTTCAAATTTCTTCGTCAAGACTTCATCTTGTTGGTTCCTTGACATCATGATGATCAATTCTAAATTACAGTGTTTGCCAAATCTGGATGAAATCAACAAAGTTTGCGATAAGAATATGAAATTTTGCGACGAATTGGTTCTGAAAAGCGAAATAACTCCTCTAGAATTACTTTATAATGTAGGAGAAATGAACACTCAGATATTGAAAGAAACAGAAGATTTCATTGCTTACAGTGAATGTCGAATTTGGTACAATCAAACCTATGTGTTTTCTCAAATTCATGACATAGCAATTTTGGTGGGAAGTCGACAGAATTTTCGCAATGGAACAGTCTCAAATGAAGATTTTATAAGAAATTTGAGTGAATTTATTAGCAATATTTCAGAAATTATTACTTTATTTGGTATCAATGAGCGTCAGGTTTATTTGCACAACAAAACTGCCACTAATTGCATTTACGACTGCTCCAATTGCACATCCCTAGAAATGGACAAGAAGGAGTATACAAATATGTATTTTTCAGCTATAAATATCGTAATTATAATTTTAGTGGTTTTGGTCATTTGTGGATTTTGCATTGTGTACAATTTGCATTGTTTTCGAAAGAAAAATTCAGGATAAAATGTTATAACCCATTACATTTTGATTAAATGTGGTTTTTCTGAATAAAAATAAATGGCACAGTTGAAAACCTGACTTTAAACTTCAAGAGATTTTTTCCCAAATTGGATTATCAAAGCATTTTTTATCTGACAATAATGAGTTCTCGTCCGTTCGTGACACGAAAATCCTTTTCCCAAGCGCCATGAGCCAGTCGAAGCTGAAATTGGCTTTCAGCAGAGGAAGTGTTCCACCCCGTATTATTTCCTTATTAGGCGGAGTGAAATTGTGTTATTTTAAATTCGACGCAAGCACAGGACGAAATGTGTATCTCTGGCTGGGAATTTATCGAATTTCCATAATTCAATTTTGTGCTCTCTGCGTTGTTTCTATAGCCAAGTTAATTTTGCAACATCCGGCGCACAAATGTAAGCAAAGTGTATCACATTGGCTCACACATCGAGGCGAGAAGGGGTGGTTTTCGGGGGGTGCCTGGGAATGGCTTGTCGCAGCAGATGATGCCACTTACTGGAGCGAGTCCTGTCGGATCTGCTTCCTCGCCCGGATGTACATGGCGCTGGCGATGAGGCCAATCACCAGCACGAGGCCGAGGGCGCACGCCACGGCGCCCAGCAGCGCCGAGGTCTGCGACGGGGCCTTGGCCGGCGACGGCGACATGGAGTTGAGTCCTGGCGAAAAGAAGAAACTTTTCAGACGACCACACAAAAGGCCATACTTCAATGCATATTGAGCATGCTAAGCGAAAGTTGTCCAAGCCGCAGAGATGGCAAACAAGGCTGCGACATTATCTAATATTTAGTGGTGAGATAAAAGCGGCATGTCTCTTATTGTCTCTTTTGAGATGCCTGAAATATTCATCAGCAGACAAAGAGCGATCTTTGGATTTGTACTTGGCCTGCAAATGGGATAATTTGGAGCGAAAATACGCGAATTGTGACAAAGAATTTCGTTAGCAATGAGATTTTGTGATATGCGAGGAGAAATGAGAGGATTTGGTAAGAGATTTTAAAAGGATTCCTTTCACAGCTCATAATCCTATTACATAGCGTGCGGCAGTCAAAGTGCTGCGGAAAGTCTTTTCATTTTTCCTTGCTTTCATCCATATTTAATGTATGTTCTTTTCAGAAATAATAGACAAATAATGAAGTCAAAGCAAAGATATAGGGAAAGTTACATATCTTTGTTAAAACTTGTTAGAATGATTACAAAATCGCATTTTGGGGGCCGCATTGAACCACCCTGATGTATTTTCTGTATCATTTTAGTGAAAAACTTCAACTCTGCACCTGAACTGCCGCATCCTGTGCTTCCATTTCCCTCAACGAATGGGTTTTCCCACCTCCCGAGGGCTAATATTCATATTTCTGGCTGAGAAGCTCTGTGCGTAAGCCCCTCTTCCGCAAACACATTGTCATGTTCCCCTCTGGCTTAGGGGACTTCCTGAAAATAATTCACGCTCAGCATCCCGGGCAAAGAATGGCAAAGCATGCTGACCTTTGAGGCAGATCTTATTGCGCTTGAAATTGAGGCGGGTGTCGTTTCGGCGAGAAGGCGCCCGGATATGAAGATTAATGGCCACTGGAATCTCCTCGGACTCCTTTCCGGAGCACGGCAAATGAACTGTGAAAGTGTCCTGGACTCTGGGAACGACACCCCTGGCGGGAATGCTGAGCTCTGGCGGCAGCAGAGCACCCAACTCCGTGGCGTAGTCGATGTTGATGGAGTAGGAGAGCTAAAAAGGCGAAAGGAGGAGATTCTTCACACACAAACTTTTCTCACGAAGGTGCTGAAAAAAATTCCACACTCTTGTTTTAGCCTCCTTTTCACACATTTCAACCCATTCTTTCACCCCATTTTTTTCCCTGCTCTCAGCGCGACTGTTTGGCAGTGGCGCGGAATTTAAGGTATAATGTGATGTATTATAAATCAAGGATATCATACCGGATGTTCGACAAGGCTTTGCCAAGAAAACTCCAAGTCATTTACATTCGCTGGAACGGGAACCACGAAAAGCATTGCATATGTATTAACCACTCCTTCGTGAACGTAAAATAACTCAGCATCGAGTCCTGGAAATATAAACAATTCGTTTGCATCAAAATGGGCGGGTTTTTCATCGCTCTGTTAATTGAATTGTTTTTCTGTTAATTGGAAATGAGTTTGGCGGACAGTGAAAAGTATCTCTGCAATCCGGGGAAAACACACTGCAGATAAATTGTATACATATTTTGTTTATTTTCCAAACTTCTCTGCATTGATTAAAATAACCATTATGTTTCTGGCTGTGTGCTAGAAAATCCACCCAACTTATGCAACGTTGAAATAATGTGAATAATATTTATTTCATGAATTGCTTCGCATGTGAATTTTTCACGAAAACACACTGAGGGAAAATCGTGAAAGCAGCAGCATTTATTAATTATGAACAAGACTGGACAGAATGTTTGCTGTTATTCTTCCATCATCAAAATGCTCTTCCTCGAGGTGATTTTTCCGTCTTCCTCCATCTCCAAGAATGCCATCATCCGCTCGCATTATCTCAGGGATGATTTGTTTTGCGGGCGAAATAAGTGGGTGGAAAATCTCTGTTTGCGTCTTATTTTCAATTTCGCAGCGCCATTTGAATACACAGTATTTTCTCGAGGAATACGCAATAAATTCCATCAATAAAATTCACTTGAAAGTAAGTATGAAAGAAGAAATCAAGAGACGCTCATTCTGAGGGAAAAAGAACTTGACGCAAAATATGTATATTATAGTTGTGAAATATGAGAATTAAGTTATGGTGAAAATAAGCTTTTTTATGACTCTTCGAATGAAATTCTCAAAGAACTGCATCGTTCCGATGGAGAAATACTCAAAGAGAATAATTGAAATTTGAATAACTAATGAGTCGTTTAACCAATTTTTCCCTCTCAATACATTTCTTCCCTCTGTCGTTCATTTCATATTTAAATAATTCATTGGCCTGCACTTAATTTCCCCATGAATTACTTAAGGTATTAAGCGGAGTGGAATTTAAGTGACATTTTCGAGAAATGTTGTTAATTTTGAAGGCAGATTGAATCCGCTGATTTGCCTATTCATTAATGGCAGATAAAATTGATCTTAGTGACAGTAAAGCATCAAAATCAGACAATACGTTATAAGGATAATATGAGAATTTATAGCCACTTATTCGACTGTGAATATAGACTAATACCTAATACTTGTTGACAATATGCGTAATTTAGATGCTGAATGCGATAGAGAGAAGAATACGACAGAATTATTATCAAAATCGATTGTTTCATGCCTTCCGTGGGTCACCAACCCGATGACAATTTTGAAAAAGAACCCCTTGAGATTTAATTACGGGCAACACTCTGTCAAAGACATCATTAACCCGACGGACAGTGTCAATTAATCGTGAAACTTTAAAATTGTTCGAAAGAAGTAAATGTGTTCCTCATCAGAGTTTCTTCAACTTTCCCTCGTGCGCGATTTTTCATGTTTTCCCGGGGAAAAAGCAATTAAGCACGCAAAGATGAAACGTGAAGTATAGAAGTGGAATTTAAAAAGTTTCCGAAGCTCAATTTTCCCACCCAAAGACAAAAGGCCAGGAGAGTTGAAATTAACATCAATTTGTGATAATATGAAAAAGGGGTGTGGGACTTTATTGAAGGGCTGCTCGGGGAGCAATTTGGGCAGAAGGAATTAGCGCAAATAGACTCATGTTTCATCGTGATAAATTAACTTCATCTGGGCAATCTCGTGAATGCGGTGAATTGAGGCCAGAGATGGAATTAATAGACAAACCAAATCCCTATTTTGGGAGTTAACCAGCTAGAGAGAGAGAGTCACCCTTCTGTCGGCTTATCGGCCGCCCTGATATGATCTGTGACAAATGACTAAAGCGCAGAGTCTCGATTATGATCGGAATATTGGAAAAGTCAATAAGGAGGGCTTCTTTGCGGCCACCATTTGAATAGAGAGGATGAATGGAAAGGTGAAGAAGTGAGGGCGAGACGTGGACTATTCATCACTCTCTCGTGGTGAAGATCTTATCATAATTGCAATTTCACCACAAGAGAGCAGAGACTCTGCTTTTAATAAGGAATGCCTCTTATCGCCCCGGTTCTCCCCTGCGATATTCCGGCGGGCGATCTGGGGAGAGTGTGCGAGGCATAACTCTTCTGCCGGAGTTGGCTCAATGTACATAGTTTCGGGGCGAGATGAGACAAATGGAGGGCCGCCTTGGGAGGAAAGTAGCAATAAATATGGAAATTGAATTACTCATGCTACAATGAAATGAATGCTCCACGAAATACACATCTTCTCTTTCAATCTTATTCAACTTAAGCCATAAAAGCCATTTGATGGTAGATAAACAAATTCACAATGTATCAGACGAGAGAGTGAGCTTCAGCCTTCATGAGAGTGTTCGGATGATGGGTGAAAAAGTCCCATTACCAACTTGCTGGCGCACAATTGAAATGACTACATCCCGAGTCATTTGTATCCTCCTTTAGACAACCCCAAAAGTCTCCTTGTTTTTCAGTCGCCGAATGAAATGGAATCATTATGGATTCCCTATCAAGTTGCAAAATAAATGTTTATTCAAGAAAAATCAATATGCAATTATGGCGAATGGCTGAAGCGAGGAAGGATTTTCCTGCGTCTCCTTTTGTGTATATGTATTATCATTGCAAATTCCGCAAAAAGGACTATCGAATTACGCTTCGAGGAAAAGTGCTTCTGCATCAGAAATCCCACAAAGTATCGGGGAAATTCAGTGGAAATTGTTATGCATTCGCAATACAACTTTCTCACAGTATCGTTTTTCACTGACATTCAGTTTGCCGTTTGGTATATCAAGATGAATATTCGTGGGAGCAAATTGGAAAATAATGTACATAAATTAAGCTCAAGATGAAGCTGCATCTTGAGAATCACAGTTCAAGATTTAATCATGTGCAGTGGAAGAATCAAATGTGCTTAAGAAACTCTTGCTATTCATTAAGAAGAACTTGCGTCTGCGGTCGAAACAATATGTGGAAGATTAAACGAAATAGTATTGAAAATGATTCACAAATAATAAATCAGAATAGTGTTTGAAATTAATTTAAAACTTTTCCATATTTTAACTTTACTCGTCAAAATGTAAATTTTTCTCACAATTTCCTATTTATTTTCTGAAACTTTTTGTTTCTTACTAAAACTATGTTTGTTTCATCATCCTACAAACATTTCGCTCAACACTTTGATATTGCTTAACCTAAATTTTATCATTCAGCTAAAGTTTTTCTATGCAACCAGAATAAGTAAAAAGATCTAAACTTCCAACAATCTCTAATCACGATCAAGAGCACAAGAATGCAAAAGTTTCTCAACATTTCATTAGTATTTCCTACAGAATGTTGTCTAGAATTTTTAATAAGCTTCAATCAATATCAATATCAATAATGCAGTGGCACTTCAGTGTTTATAAAACCCTAAAACCGATAAATATTTCAGAGTTATCGACAATTGAAACAACCCCAAATCTGCAAATTGTAGTTGAATTGCTCAGTTTTTAGGCATGGAAATCGCCTATTAAGCCATGAAGTGCTCGATAAATATCCCCCATAAAATATATACTGAACATTTAATCCCAAATCTCGCTTTATTTAATTCCGGGGATTCACAGAGTCGTTTCGGCCGTCCTTCCGCAGTCCAGACACCCATTGAGGGCCATATTTCAGGTCCGCTAAGGACGCACTTCATTAAAATTTTATCGCCGAATGAGGCACTTTCTCGCATGTTAAATTCACCATGATTTTTCCCCGCATTTGGTAATGATATACCTTCTTGTGGGAATCCATAATTCAGTCCCTTCAGTCATGGCAGTGTCTTGTGATGCCGTAAAATCCTTTCTTCGGATTTTTAGCACCGACGAAAGGAAGCCATAGAAGGCGAAGGAAGTGTTGCAATATTTTCTTTGGTTTATGGGGTGGAAAATAGAGGAAATATCCGCAATACTTCTCCCTCAAGAGATTTCATCTCGAGAATTTTCACACTGTCGCGCAAGTTTGTGATGTCAATGTTGACAATAAGTAGAAGAAATGAGAATGAAGACTCACCCATTAACTTCTTCATCTCCTTCTGATTGATGAACACGTTCAAGTAGCTGGAGACAAATGGCGTGCTCCAGAGCAGGAACACGCCACAGATGAAGGGAGTTACGATCCACATTTCGCTGGTCTCGTCTCGGTGGCAATAACACTTCCCACTGCGGTGCGATTACTCATAAATAAGTGCAGACACATTAAGAGAGCAGTTGCCAGATTATTGCTCTTGAATAAATTTAGGGACGAGAGAGAAAGGAAGGGGTTTTTTCAGAATTCGCAGAGGGTGAATTTATAAACTTCAAATATAATCACATTTCACTTTTAATTCTCTCTCTCTTTTGCCAAGGGTTTAATTGATTCTGATGGGATTTCTGGTGTGTGATTCATTTGCGATGCCGCGTGTTCGGTCCTCTTTTTGTTTGTGGGCTCGGGAAAATTTATTTCACGATAAACACTCATAAATTATGTCGCCGAGCATGGGATAATCCCGAATTTTCCGTATCGCATTACACATGGCATTTTATTAAAGTCTCACGTGATTTTCAGCACTTTATATCATCATTATCACACAGTCGTATTAATTGTGGTGGCGTTTTAGTCCTGTTGTCGCAATTTTTGAATACACAGAGATTTGCCTGTGATTACCACAAACTGGAAAATTCACACATTTTGTGGGGTTGCAATTATTTTTTATGCTCTCAAATGGATTAAAATATGTTTTCATTTGGGTAATTTTCAGCTCAAAATTGCCTGAAAAATCTGTTGGATGTTCGGACACGCTTAAGTTACTTGTCAGAGTGTCTGAGACTACAACAACTACACTCTATAAATTTTACATTACCTCTCATTACTGCTTAACGATGAATTTTGAGTAAAATTGATCCCGACATGAACATTTTGCACTTTACTGTTGATTAGGACTTTTTTTACTTTCCCCGCACCGCTGAAATCAAGCGACAAACTCTGCAAGTTTATCTAACCGCTCAAAGCACAATCAATTGGAAGAGAATTGCTCACGCGAGTAAATGAAATTGTGCTGATAGTTCATGAATATTGCCGAAGCAAAGCGACCAGGAAGCAAATGGCAAATCAATACGTGTGAAAAAGTATCTCTTAATTTAATAAGCGCCCATGTAAAATGGTGGAAAAAATCGCTTTTCCACCCCACAATTTTCACCCCACAACGTCAATTTGGACTATCACGCCAAGCACTTTTCGCATTTTGTCCACTCGTTCGCCGACAGGCCGAAAATTGAGCTGAGAAGCGCGTTCAGCGGGGGTGAATCGATAGTGAGTCGCACACACAGAGGGAAGCGAAATGGGAGGAAAGTACACAGTCAAGAATGTCCTGGCATTTCTGCGGAGAGGCGAAACGCGGGCTTTCTTCACGGCAAAAGATGCAAAACTGAACTGAAATCCTCTTTATGTGTGATTGAGGACAAAATTCATATTAGAGGCATTTAGCGAAGGGGAAGTCAAATCCCAAGCCGGCTGTCACCCGAGCGCACCCTTCGGGCGCACATGCGCCCTCCGTTCACCCCCGACCGCCAGCAAGCACCCTCGGTCGTGTAAAACTTGTTGAATTACGCCAATACTCTTTTCAACCCCAGCGCCGAGACAATTTATGCCAAGAGTATGTCCTACAGGTAAATTTATACACTGCGCGCTATAAATTGTCAGTATAGGTGTTTACACTCAACTTTAATCTACTTTCTCATGTTTCGTGCAATGATGCAGAACTGCAGATTAAATGTCCTCACAGACGGAAGCTGAGTTTCACCATTTTCCAATTAACTTTTCAACAAAACTCTGCATCGGAACATTTTATTAAAATGCACACACACTGATTCAGCAGGAAATATTTAATTAAATCCCCCGCCCAGCGAAAGGGCGCTGAAAGGAGCCAATCTTGCCAGGCAAATGTGCCAAAGCGCGTCCAAAGAGTGCTTTTTAATTCAACTGTATCCACTTTAACGCCATAAATTTCCAATCATTCGACGTGGGAGCTCTTTGTGTTCGGGATCGCTTCACCGGAAGACATTTAAGCGTGTATAATTAATGATTTTCCGAGAATATCCACAGCAGAAATGATGTTTGTATTCATTAGGACTGACCGGAATTTCACCTGGAAGGGAAATTCTGATGCGGGCTCATGTAAAAATCAGGCGCTTTACGGGCAGAATGATTTTGAAATCGCAAAGGAAAAATTATATGCTTACCAATATATATAAAATATATTCGTCCAAGGGGAAAATATAGCCAGATCACGAATATTGCAGCATTTTGGAAAATTCAATATGAGTTTTTGAAGTCGCTTTCATCCTGGGAATTTAATAAATTTATGCTTTATACAAAAATTGAAATTCAGCTTTATACAAATTCAATATTTCATACTTTTGCACGCTTCTCAATGCATCGAAGATCGAAGTTTAGGAAAAAATCATTAAGTGCAAAAACCTCTTTTGAAAATGCGAACTCACCAGATATTTCCTCCTTGGCAAGAGTCATTCTTTTTTCTCATCATATTGAGAATAATTGATATCTCACCGAATTACTTCTATCGCACTTCATCTCACGACAGCTTATCTCACGGTTTGAGATTAATGTGACTACAAATTCGGCGATAAGTCCTTAAATTCCGGCTAATATGCGAAGATCAGCTCTCAAGGAAGGCTTGATAATGTGATGGAAGGAATAAATGGGCCTCGAAGGTGCGTTTGAGGGATGAAAAGGAGGGCAGATATTGCGAGTGATTAAAATAAATATCCTCTTAAGGGGCTTTTCAAGAGTGCAAAATTAGGATGTATTCCTTCCGCGCTTCTATACAGTATCCTTTTATTACGCTATATACACAATATCAGGGCGCAATTTATTTACGTAATGACGGTGATAAATTCCTCTCAAGAACATCCTCACGCAGTCGGAGTTTTTCCACATTTTCCGCATTTTGCAGCCTCCCGTCGTCAGTCAGGCGCTCGGCGCGGTTCTCTTGGATGGACTCTGGAAAAGCGGGAAAGTCAGTGTAGTCACACTCGCTCGTAAATTGCCCATCGCGGCGCCCAATTTACTGCTGTACGGCGTGTATTTGTCCGACAGAAGGTTCTCCAAATTGTAGCCCACGAAGCCGATGACAGCTGCGACCGGCAGCGTGATGTACACAGCGTTCGAGCGCAAGAATCCCAGCACAACAGGCCACATCGCGTTTGTGGAGGACCAGGGGGTGGATGAGGTTCGCCGAGGGTGGCTTTGCAGTGGGAAAAGCGTGTAAATTTGCCTCAAAATATCACACCGACTTTATCACTTGTGCACTGCTAGAAATAAACATGTCATTTTAGTGACGGCGCATGTCGTAAAATGTCATGTGGCGCTGTTTGGCGGAGCTTTTAAATTCTGAAATTATACGTTTGCGCGATAAGATGAGAAGCAACGAGTGGAGAAGCTCATATGAGATGTTTTAGAGAAAAATACACAAATATGGCACTTGACTGACTGGAAAATATTGATCACAATCGTGTACAGTAAATAACACGATAAGCCAATAATTTCTGTTTGAACTTTCATTGGGGCGAGTCACAGCAAAAGACCCACTTTCCAGCCCCTTTCGGCAAGGCCATCTCTTAACTTTGAAGTTCGGGCATTGCTTGGCGTCTTCCGTCGCATGGATCGCGATGCTTTCTTTTCTTCCACGCGTGTCGCACAATTGCCACGGCAGACGGAGTGAAAGTTAAGAAGTTTCTGGACCAAAATGTGTGCCGCCGTGTTGTGCAATGTCTCTTAGTCAATATTTAGTGAGATTGTCGCGCAAATAGTCAGCGCTCGAGTGCATCCGTTTTGGGTGTGATCGGATGAATTTCAATTTCATGCTCTTTAGCACCAAAACCCAAATTTCATCGGCGCATGGATCATGAATATGGAGGAGATGATCTTGGGTGCTTTGCAATCGGTCACAGGATCCGAATTGCAATCATGGGAAATTGAGTGAAAACTCTCTCGCGCGACGCCCACCTGAACTTGTCCACATGGTGAAATGCGCGCGCTGATGAAGAGCGAGAAGTCTTGTTATGCCGCCACTGTTTCATGACCTCTTTTCCACTCGACGAGCCACTGAACGCGTGAGTCTCGCGCTCATCTTCGCTCTGACCAGTGCGAGAGAGTGAGGAAAAGAAGTGCACTGTGAAAAGTGGCGCGCAATCTCTATCGCCATTGAAGTTTACGGAGATTTACAATGTATTTATTTTAATTCCCATTCTCATAAGGGTTTTTAAATACACATTGAAAACAGGCCAATAAAATGTCTTCAAATTATCCTTCGGCGAATAAAAGTAACTGAAATCTAATGAATTTACAGAAGCGCATTGCAGCAATTTCTGGCGCAACGATCAAGAACCCTTAATCGTACTTGAGAAATAACACTAGATGTCACTACTGGACAAAAGCAAAGGAATTTGTGGATTACTTACTCATCTAACTGCTGTAGAATTGGTTTAAGACAAGAATTGTGCCTTTCCGTCCCGTTTTTAGCAGTGCACTCGGCGTCGTTTTACCGTAAAGCCCCACTCAGGTGTAGTCTCAGAAAACTCGCGGAGTTGAGACGACCGGAATTCAATGTGGAGCACTATTCCAAATCAAGACGTTGATCGGAAAGCAACGATCGAAGCGCGCGCGCATCTTGAAGCCACTGTAGCTTTCGAGAGAAAATTATCAGTGAGAAAGTGTCTCTTATCATTGGATTTTCTGCCCTTCAACAAAGGTGAGTGTCATGCTGAAGTCTTCACTGTGTAAACTTGATTCTCGGTCTCCCGTGGGTGGCATAAAAAAGTGATGCAAGAGAAGTGACTCAATGGAGAAATGCTCCACTGAGGATGCACTCAATATCCGCCTAAATGAACTTCAATTCTCACCTGATATGCAGAACAATAATTGTGCTTCAATTTGCGCTCCAGTGCTCGCATATTGGCGCAGCCACTGTAAAATTAATGGTGTCAGTGATGCAGTGTCTTGCTATCCAATTGATTCACCTGAGATTCTGGGAGAAATCACTTTGAGCGCCCTAAATTTCCATCGGACAATCAAGTGAATGACCCCATTTGAACTCTTCCGCCTCTCCTAAGCGACTTAGCGTCAAATTTTAATACTCTTCCTAAGCGTGGAGATTTTACAGCCTCTCAATAAAATCTGTTCATCTGGGTGAGAAAGATTTTTATTGCAAAAATTTCTTTTGCCAGCAAAAAAGGTCTGAATCTTTGCCGTTCAATTGAACGCCTCACTTGCTTCGACATTCTCCTTCCTGGCTGCTCAACTAGAGTAATGGTGTAGAAGTTTAATTGTGGGGTTTTTTGGCCTTAGCAGATATTGCAAGAAAGTGGAGAAAATGCTCCATTGACTTGAGAATCGCTTTAGAAGAAGTAGAGAGAATATTGAGTGGCACACATTTGCGGCTTAAGTCGCGTTCTGCTTGGAAGTTGGGTTGAATTTGCAATATTTTCTCTTATCTTTTTAAGGCTGTTACAATGAAGCTGTCTTTTCTTCTGGAGTTGTTGCTGATCTTCATCATAATCGCCTTCGCAGCGTCGAAGCCCATTGATTCAGGTGAGGAATTTTATAAATTCAGAGTCTCTAAAAGATTCATTATATATTCAGAATCTTTCGTATTCTAAATAATGACTTTAGGCGGAATATGAAGGATATTTCTGATTCTGAATCCTTTCAGCTGTGCTTTTTCATACAACATCAGTATTTCTGATCTCTTTTCCTATGAAACACACAAATTTGTTTAACTAACACAGTGAAATTGCTTTATTTTGGCACCTAAAATCTTCATCTTTGACTGTTCAAAGAAATTAATTGCAATTCTGACTTCTTTTCCAGAAGGTCGGGCTGTTAAGCATGGGATCAAGAAAGTCGGTCTGAGACAGCAAGTTCAGGCGTCCACAGCGAGTCCAGTTGCCGCCGTTGCTGAGGACGACGATGACGACGATGATGAGGATGAATTTGGCTTGGATGATGACGACAGTGACGAAGATGACGATGATGACATCCTTGGATTCGGCGATGACGATGACGAAGATGAGGAGGAAGAGGATGTCTCGTCGGACGGCGTTCGTGATCCCGAAGAGGGCGACGAAGAGGACTTGGATGGCGATGAATTGGGCATTCTGGGCGATGACATCTTCGACATCTTCGAGGATGACGACGAGCCGCCAGTGAAGAAGCCAGCAGCTGTGGCTCCAGCAGCCGAAGTGGCGCCAGCGGCTCCGGTGATCGCGCCCTCGGCCGTCGTTGAGGCTGTAGAAGTCGCAGAATCTGCCATTGTAGTTCCCGGCGCTCCCGCCAAGTCCACCAAACTAAAGAAGAAGCCCGGCCTGAGGAAGCCCATTAAGCCAGAACCCAGGTAAAAGCTGCACAGCATGAATCGCGTTCAAATCAATGGCTAACACACTTACTTTCGAATGAAACACATGAATCGAACATATTTGCATGCATTTAGCGAGAGTTTGGACATAATTTAACATATTTTTCGCACAGAGAAGATAAGAAACTAGTGATTTTTCTTCACTTTCTCTACGGATGAATAAATTGGTTGAGAAAGTGTGTTTTGGCGGAATTTTGAAGACTACAAAGAACTTTTCTTTTCTTCCAGTGTCGAGGAGAGCAGCCACGGTGACGACACGTACAAATTGCCTCACACGGCGGTTCTTCTGGCCCAATCCATGGCCAATGATGGCAACCGAGTGCCGGAGTTCAAGCCATTCATCCAGACCACGAAGCAGGAGGTGCACGATGAGGACGAGCCCGCGGAGGCTTTCAAGAGCGAGCCCGTGAAGGAGGAGAGTGAGAAAGAGGCCTCAACGGAGAACGCCAAGGAGGCTTCCACCACACTTCCCGAGGAGATCAGCGAGTCCTCCAAAGAGAACAAGATGCCCGAGAAGAAGGTGACGAAGAAGAAGGACGAGGGCATCATCGAGGTCATGACGTCATTCCTAGACGACGACGATGACGATGATGACGAGGACGAGGATGAGTATCTGACCAAAAAGGTGGAGAAGCACGAGGAGGAGGACGAAGAGGAGGATGATGAGGAGGACGAGTCCAAAGAAGAGGAGTTGGAAGAGGAGGAGGAGGAGGAGAATGCCGAGCGTGAAGAGGAGGAGGAAGATTCTCCGGATGCCAATGAAACGGAGGACAATTCAGTGAATGAGAGCACAATTGCGAGCCAGAAGAAGGATAAGAATGAGTTTGGCATTGACTCAATTGGCGAATCCCTCGGTCTGTCCAGACGACTGAGAATAAAGCGAAATTAACATAGCTTATAGTCTCCTAGCATTAACTATAGTCGTTAAAGTAATTTATTTATTGTATTTTCGCCTCTATTTATTTATTTATTCCACCCCTCACCTTTCCACACTGCTGCGAATAAAGTCTGGAACATCTCATCATGATATTTTTGTTAGGCAATGATTTTGTACTTAAAGTGTTGAATAAGATGAGATTTTATTACTAAAAATTGTGTGGCTTCTTATTTGCACTATTCGTAATCATCCAAGAGGAGAATATCTTGGAATTTGTTGTCGTTGAAGAGGTGCCAATAGTCCTTGACGAAGTCCTTGCCAACATCCGTTCGACATCCCTGATCGTTCACGATGCAGGCTGGCTTCACACCTGCTTTCACTTTCTCATCGTAGACTTTGAGATTGAAGGACTTTCCCTGCGCCCAAACATGCAACAATTCCAGACAATCACACTGGAAAGGATTGTTCTCCACATTAAGCAGTTGGATTTTGTTTAGCATCTAAAGAAAGGGAGAGAAATCGATGAATATTTCAATATTTAATCAAGAACAAAGGAGGAAATATTGCGATTTCCAATTATAATTTCTCATAATTTCTAAATCATAAGAAATTACAAAACCCACACTGTTGCTTTCTTCAATTTCATTAGTTTGTGGATTCCATCCGGGGATATAGAAGTGTGCCATGTTGTTTCCATTCAGGAGAAGCCAAGAAAGTGGCGTTTGATCGAATGAATTCGGTGAGAGTTCGTAGATGAAGTTGTTGCTGAGATCGAGAGTGTGCAAGTTTATCATCTTCTCAAAAGCCCCAGAAGCTATCGAATGGATCTCATTGTTGGCCAGATAAAGATTGATCGTCTTGCCGAGCCATTTGAATGTATTCCTGCCGATCCTTTTGATCTGATTGTATGTCAAATCAACGGAAATGAGCTTCAGATCATCACTTCGAGACTCAAAAAGCTTCGCGGATCGAAGCAAATTGCTCCTCAAGCTCACACTCTCCGCATTCGGCAAAGAGTCATGAATAAAGAAAGGGTCAATTGAGTGAATGTTGCAGAAATTGCACACGAGTTCCGTGAGACTCCCAAGAGACGATCGCGGCGTCATTTCAAAGACTTTATTAAAGCTGAGATGAAGCGATGAGTGATTAACGAACTTTAACGCGATGTTCTCAATTGTCTTCAGCAGATTGTAGTTCAAGTCTATGTAAATCAAATTGAGGCTGGGAAGAGAGACTGAATACAAGAGATTGTGTGATAAATAGATATTCTGCAGCTTTGGTGCATTGCTCAGCATGTCTTCGTTCAACACATTCAAGTGATTTCCAGTCAAGTACAAATGCTTCAAGTTCGGCAGATTCAAATGCGCTTTCGTGAAGTTTTTCACACAATTATAGGAAAGATCCAAACTCTGCAGCGTTCGACTTTCAATGCCAAACCGCCAAATGTCGTTCTTCTCGAGATCCAACACTTCAAGCTTAGGCAAATACTGAACTTCAGATTTAATGTAGAACGACGTGAGCCTGTTGTTTCCCAGCATGAGCATTCTTAAGTCCCCCATTCGCACACTGTTGAGATCAATGTCCAAGATTTGATTGCTGTCCAAATTCAAGCTGCGCACTCGCACTTGATCAGACTGCTTGAAAGCATCCAGAGAGATTGATGTCAGATTGTTTCTGCTCAGATTCACTGTTTCCAAGCTCTTCATTCCTCTGAAACAATCCACATTCAAGCTCATGACGCCCGAATTGGACAAATCGAAGTGCTGCACTTTCGTCAACTGCTCAAAAGTCGGTCCGCCGCACAGGAACATCTCAGGCACAGTATTCCTGTCACTGGGCGTTTCTGGGAAGTTCACGTGCACAATTTTCCACTTTTCCGCATGGGGAAATCTCAAAAGATGATCGAAAGAGTTGCAGGAAACACTAAATTCACTGTCTTCCTTGCAAGAATTGCAGAAAACATCATTAATCAAGACACCTAAAGCAAAATGCAGCCAGAAAATTATCCTTTTCGGCCACATTTTTAGAGTTCTTTCCTTGAGAGCTGAAAATCGACTGAGATGAGCTGCTCGGAATTGCAAATCCGAGATAATTGCGGTAAAAAGTGTATAACCTTTTAGACATTTTGGCCACGATGATAAGATAATTATGAATGGACAGCAGCCTGAAGTATATAATGGAAACAATGAAGAACCTTTAAAAGGTTTCAGTCTACTTGTTTATTATTTTATTGTGTACATTTCATCATCTGTATACTGAACTTGCTTAATATAATATATAATACTAAATCACTCTACTGTTGTTACAAAAAGCGTTCGTAGTGTTTGGCATAAATTAATTCGACAGAAGGGCTCAAACTATTTCCAATATAGAGACCTGAGAGATAGGAAGCAGTACATTTTCCTGCATTTCCCGCAAAAGTCTTCACCATCTCAAATATTGCATGACAATGTTTGCTCAAGCTTATCTTTTTCCCAAGTTTCTGAGCTATTTTGATGGCATTTGAGTGAATAAAATCCTTTGCCAAGTTGATGAACACTTCAAATGCCTCCTTAGTCAACGTTAGAGCGATTTTGGTTAGAACATCTTGAAGAAAGTCAGTGCAGATGTTCGTGAAGAAGGTCGTGAGTTCAGCCAAAGCCCAAGAAACCCAATCATAAGGAGTATTGCCAGGATTTATTACGATATAGTCAAACATCTTCAGGTTTAATCGCTGCAAAAAAACACAGAATTTGTGCGTGATTAATAAATGTTCAATTATTTACCATAAATTCTACTTGTGAATGAACTTGATAAAATAGCTTCCGACTTTCACTAAAAACAGCTTGAGACCAACTATGCCTTATTAAATATTCTTACTTCTTTTATAGTAAGATATTATCGTGTAGCGGAAATTGTTTGGTCATAAGAATTTATCATCTGTTTCGTATAATTGTGATTACCCAGAAAAAAAAGTATGATTATGAGTGACTTCTTTTAGTTCTCCTTATTTCAGTAAAAATTTGTAATATTCTCAGAAAATAGTTCTGATAAAAAATTTTGATATTTTAATAAAAACAATAATTTATTCAGTGGATTCCCAAAAAACCAGTCGCGGGTTTTGATTTTGGAAGCGTTATGAGTTCGCCCTCGAGACGTCCACTTTAGGGCTTGTTCAGGACTTTGAAATTTGTCTAGCTCAGGCGTAATTGTGCCTCGGCTCAATCACATGTACGCATTTTTCTCAATTTTTCCTATTTTCACGCATCGACGTGGCATTACTAGGACTTCTGAAACATTAAAATGCGCGAGCAAACATTTTTGTGCCATTTGCGAGCAGAAACCGCAGAAAAAATGCCACAATCGAACCACCAGCGAATCCAACATCCAAGCCATTCAAACGTTCTAATCTAAGACGCTTAGAATGCTTGCCAAGGCGGAGTGGTACATCACCAACGAAGTCTTTCATCGTGACCTAATTGTGAAATCTGTTCGCGAGGAGATTGAGCGCTGTAGTCAGATTTGACTGACAAAACATGAATGTCACCCCAACGTATTGGCTGCCCATTTGCCTGGAAAGAGGCGATCTGCACGTTTGAAATGCAATGACCCTAGTGACCTACCCGTCATGCGGTCATTAACATCCCAGAGTTAAATTTGCTGGTAACTTTATGTGTCCCTTATGAGTCTATTCATTGGTTTATACTTATTCCTACCCGTAAAATCAACTGTGTCAAATATCGCTAAATGTCTCTAAGACAGATTGTTATTGTATTTCGCAAGATAGTGAAAAAAAATAGATAAACGTATAAAGTCGTTACACAAGCGTCGAAACATATAGCGCGGTGATGCCATCTCTCTTAAAAAACCTTTTCCATCAAGCAGGCATTAAATTACCAACAATGGTTCTTGCTTTTTGATGATTCTTGGATAGCTGAACACCCATTGGGTTTAGAGTAAACCCCGTATAGGAAAGTTTATAATTGGTTCTAGTTGCGGAGGAGCCCGAAAATGCATTTTTCTGTCGCGCAAACTATTGTTTTTTTTTCATTGTTGGAAGTGAATTTGATTTAAACGACCTTTGCGAACATAATCTCTACGATATCTTATCGATTCCCATGCAAAATAAGCTTCTTGCAAGATTCTTAACACTTCCAAATAGATTTTCCTCCTCATAATCTACGAAAAAGTTTGTAAGAATAAGTTCTTTTCTGATTTTTTCTTATAAATAGAAGAAATAAGTGAAGGTAGTGTTGGAAGTGTTGACTTTTTTGTGGGACACTGCGAAAGTATTAAAAGTGTCAGGAGTCCACCATACAAACTTGGAAGTGGTGTACAGATTTCAGGCAAATTATCCCCCCCTTGGTTTTTTTTCAGTCAGACTGGCCAAAATTTGCGTGAAAATGGCAGAGAGCGTGCAGCTGTCATTTTTCTTTGTGTATGATGAGGCGGATTGAAAAGGTGAAAAAGACCAATATCTCGACTCGGGGGTATCAGACATAACACTCGAGTTATTTTATTTATTATCACACTTTCATATTTCACTTTTTAGTAAATTGAAAATCATTTACCTTTGCAGAAATCCCGAAGAAATCACTGACAAAATCACAAAAAACCCCGGAGAAACCACTCACACTGCACACGCAAAGGAAGGCAGCGAAATATTGAAGAAAAGTGTGGCTTGAAAATATGGCTGACTCTTTCGCGCATCGTTTGCGTATAGACCGCCCAATGCGCTCAAGATGACCCATTGGTCGTTAGGCATAAGTCTATGTTATGTACTAGTCTCAGTCTTATATAGACTTGGGATCGGTCTGTCTACAACTCTTCAATACATGCATATGAGACGCCGAATGGAGTTAGCAAATGTCAAGGCAAATTTTCTTAAAATGTTATTAAATATTCGCACCTGCGAGCTATCGTGTTGAATACTTTCTGATCTGAGAATATGATATATTAACTTTGAATAATTCAAAAATAAGTAGAAGAGTTTTCAATTTTTTTGCTCAGTCATACATTTTATAATCAAGATGCCCTTCATCGCATGATCCCTCTTTCTCGCTCAAGTCTCGCTCCTCTCGCTCGCTGAAGTCATCAACGTGGCGCCACACGCGCCACCATCTTGAACTCATTGCGAGAAAATCACATGAAAACTTTTGGGCTTAATATGCAATGATTTGGAGCCACTGGCATCGATTTATCGAGTTCTCCGGTCATCTTATGAATTATCAATTCAATTGGCATGCTCACATTCCTCGGTCACCTTGGAAAAATTCCGCGGAAAATGAGTGGAAAAATTTTTCATTTTCCGAGATGGGATGCTAATAATCGGATTCAGAAAAAATTTTTCTACAAGACGTGAGTATTTGCACAAATATCTCATGCGTGAAATGCAGCCAAGCGCGCATGTTGGTTTGCGATTTTATTCAATTTGCTTGCCATTTGTCATTTATATATATATTTTTTATATATTTCATTTGCCATATATATATTCTATCGTGTCCATGGAAAATATGTTGCCGAATTGTTCTATCAAAAACACATTTCGTTCAGTGCGACGCAGAGTGGCGAAAAATATAATTCACTTTTTCAGTGCGCTCGAGCGCCGCTGTGCGGAGAAATACAGAAAAATGAAAGGGTTATAAAAAAGGATTATTCTCGCACAGGTTTTTGACTGTTTTTTCGATGCTTCATGTATGTTCGTCAGCTGCTCAAAAGTCGGTCCGCCGCACAGAAACATCTCAGGCTCACTATTCCTGTCACTGGGCGTTTCTGGGAAGTTCACATGCACAATTTTCCACTTTTCCACATGGGGAAAGCTCAAAAGATGATCGAAAGAGTTGCAGGAAACACTAAATTCACTGTCTTCCTTGCAAGAATTGCAGAAGACATCATTAATCAAGACACTTAAGGCAAAATTCAGCCAGAAAATGATCCTTTTCGGCCACATTTTTAGAGTTCTTTCCTTGAGAGCTGAAAATCGACTGAGATGAGCTGCTCAGAATTGCAAATCCGAGATAATTGCGGTAAAAAGTGTATAACCTTTTAGACATTTTGGCCACGATGATAAGATAATTATGAATGGACAGCAGCCTGAAGTATATAATGGAAACAATGAAGAACCTTTAAAAGGTTTCAGTCTACTTGTTTATTATTTTATTGTGTACATTTCATCATCTGTATACTGAACTTGCTTAATATAATATATAATACTAAATCACTCTACTGTTGTTACAAAAAGCGTTCGTAGTGTTTGGCATAAATTAATTCGACAGAAGGGCTAAAACTATTTCCAATATAGAGACCTGAGAGATAGGAAGCAGTACATTTTCCTGCATTTCCCGCAAAAGTCTTCACCATCTCAAATATTGCTTGACAATGTTTGCTCAAGCTTATCTTTTTCCCAAGTTTCTGAGCTATTTTGATGGCATTTGAGTGAATAAAATCCTTTGCCAAGTTAATGAACACTTCAAATGCCTCCTTAGTCAACGTTAGAGCGATTTCGGTTAGAACATCTTGAAGAAAGTCAGTGCAGATGTTCGTGAAGAAGGTCGTGAGTTCAGCCAAAGCCCAAGAAACCCAATCATAAGGAGTATTTCCAGGATTTATTACGATATAGTCAGACATCTTCAGGTTTAATCGCTGCAAAAAAAACACAGAATTTGTGCGTGATTGATAAATGTTCAATTATTTACCATAAATTCTACTTGCGAATGAACTTGATAAAATAACTTCTGACTCTCACTCTAAATTGCTTGAGACCAACTATGCCCTTTTAAATATTCTTACTTCTTTTATAGTAAGATATTATCGTGTAGCGGAAATTGTTTGGTCATAAGAATTTATCATCTGTTTCGTATAATTGTGATTACCCAGAAAAAAGTATGATTATGAGTGACTTCTTTTAGTTCTCCTTATTTCAGTAAAAATTTGTAATATTCTCAGAAAATAATTCTGATAAAAAATTTTGATATTTTGGTAAGACTAATAATTCATTTAGTTTACAATTACTGTTGTTCTGCATTTTATCGTTGTTTTATCAAAAATTTATGAATAAGTGAATTGTTAAGTTGTTGCAAATTCTTCAGTACTTGATCCAGAATCGAAATAGACTTAATAAATACAGAAAATCACCTTCAATTAAAAAGAGCTTTTGTGAGTATGATTAGGTTATATTTTTGCCTCCACATCCAATTTTTTGTCATAATTTTGAGGAATAGTGCTCATTACGTTTATGTTATGATTAAGAGTTCTTGTTGTGTAAATAGAATTACACTATTGCTATGAAATGATCGTGTTTGGGCTGATAAGCCATATTTATATCAAAATCATCTTTGCGCTGCGAAAGTATACAAAACATCGCAGAATTTCATATGTGAGCCATAATCTGCGTAATAAATTTCCGCCAGCGCAGAACAATCTTTCCGCCGGCATTCCTGAGCATATGGCGAATTCTAGGCAGAAATATAAATGGCATTAAGTGTCAAATTTGTCTCAACAATGGCGCCATCATCGTGTTCTCACTTGGTTTCCGGTGTGTATTTAGCCAAATTGGAAATCTTTCACTTTGCCCCCGCCGCATTCACGGGGGATTTATTTGTGTTCATTAAAATTTCATCACAATACAAGCTTAGGGGAAGACGTAAGCGATGCCGAAGCACAGATAGTGAGCCAGACGCTCGAGTGTGGATGAAAAGTGAATTTATTAGTAATATATGTCTGGGGGATGAAATTGATTTTGCGCGTGTGGGGATGTTTAAGAGACTTCATAACTGCTGCTGGAATTTCCAACAATGCCAGAGAGAGAGTGTATGAATGGTCTGGCGAGGGGTGAAAGGGGGAAAGAGCTGCATATTTACAATTGCCAACTTCTCGTTTCCTCAGCAACACGGCATCCCTCCGGCATGGAGAAATTATAGATAGAAATTTAGAGAATTGAGGGTGAAGAGCGTTTATTCCAATATTTTTATTTGTTTTTCTGCATCTCGACAAGAGGCAATTTCCTTTCCTCTCCCATCAAATTGCCCGTTTCCGTGTCGCCCTATCGTTGCCGCATCATCATCCGATTCCGGAGCATTTCCAGAGCTGCTTATCGGGGGCGTTTTCCCAGCCACGCAGACGAAATGTCTCACACTTTACACCATTTTATATATGCAGTTGATGTGTCATCGTAAAACGTTTCATAAAATTGAGTGCATAGGTGGAAAATTGTCCGTACTCAAGTTTATGGCGCGTTAAGAAGTCTCTTAAGAGAAGCGTTTTTGGCACGCTGAAACATCCTTTGAAACAGCCTTTTGCAATATTTATAAGTTCCCGAAGCGTGTGAGTGAATTGACGGTCTTTGGGAAGCTTAAAGAGCAGATAGAAGGCATTAAAAGTAGAAATGGTGACAAAACGCTTAACATCACTTTGCTAAAGATAAATTTGTAAAAATTTAATTTTCTATCTCTCTCCACCGATCAATTTTCATTGTAGATTTCACAGACGTGTTACAAAGTTCTACAATATTGTTCCACAAATTTTTCTCTGTGCACATAAAGAGACACGTTTAGTAAAGCAAATACGCGCAACGATGAGTCAAGATCAGAAAGAGAATATTCCGCCCTCATAAATCAATCAATTGGTGATGCGTGGAGAGCTTTAGCAAGATGTCAAAGCCTGAACAGAGAGTAAAATGTTATGTTTGAGCTTGGATGTAAAAACTGACCACCCGCGCTCAGCAAAAACACACATCCTTCGCATGGGAAGTATGCAAATGCACTCGTGATGGAAGGGCCGTCATAAATCACTTGTAAATGTGTGTTCTTCAGAGGGGAATATTTTATCGACAGTGTCAATCCCTCGTCGTGTCGGGCGAAAGAAGGGCGCATAATGCTAATTGTGATTCATCAAAATGGAAATCGTTTTGGGGACACACAGAAGAGAGTCATTTTGTCACAATTGAATCGCAATCCCAGTGTTTCCTTGTCACTCATCCTGCAATTTGGACCTCCTCCTCAGGCTGGGCGTGCATTCGTTATCACTTGCCGTGCACGGCGCCTCGAGGGGGAGGAAGAACATCTCCCGCGGGTGTGAAGACATGGCATCCGGGCGTGGGAGTGGAAATTTAAAGGGCGACAATTCAACTTAACATAATAACACAATCAGAAGTGGGACGCCGGGGGCTTTTATCATGGAAATACACGAGGCAAAAGAATTTCCACATGCATTGTCGCACATACACAAGATGAGGATCTCTTTTGGGTGGCAAGGCGAGCGAAGGAGGGCGAATTGTCATAGAAACAAGTCGTAGGGAAAATGTTTCGGGTGTTGAGAGTAACGTGAAAGGAGGGAATTTAATCTCGCCGGAATTCTATGAACAATGAAATTTTGATTAAGCACCGGCAAAAATGCTGTTTGGATACGGAAATCTGTGTGTGTGTTTTTTGGCACGGGGAGGCCATTGAAGAGTATTGTACCTTCGGATTTCGGGGGAGAATTGGATGCCCCGCTGCGAGTCGCTCATATGTACAAAAGATAAGTGGAAATGGTGACAAAATCAATGCGGTGTGTCTGCTCCTGACACATTGCTGTCGCTCTGGAGACGAGGGTGCACACAGCGTTCCACTGCTGGGGAGATCATGTAATTTCCGGCCGCCCGAGAACTTTTCACAGTCATTCAAATGCCACAATATCAATTTCCATCTCTCAGCTCTTGCCATCCACTTGTGGCCCTAGGTTAGTAATTAGGGTTGGAATATTGTCTCTCGTCACTCTCTCTGTCGCCTTGGCGGCAAAATTGCTCGCTGAGCATCACTTTGTGGCCCGCAGAAAGGACTTTATTTCAAACTCACACAAGTTTCACATCCAGAACAATCCGCCCTGGTGAGAAATATCTGGTTTCCCGCGAAACTTGACGTTCCACGAGATGTTCAATGTGACATTAGTTTAAAAATAGACTATTATTTTGTTTCCCAAACAAGACACTGATGCCGTGGCCTAATCAGCCTACGTGAGATCGAAGCATCGAAACATTCAGCATGTGATTTTATTTAACATTTGAGCAAACACAGTTCCAAAAAAGTTGAAAAGCATAAGCCAACTTTAGCTTCTGGGTGAACTGGGCTTTTGCGGTTAAACTTGCTCGATTCAAAGTTAAACTCAAGTCAGTCAACATCGTTCTAGCCTAGAACTGAACAACATTAAGCCAAATTCTATATAAACTTTGGGATTAGTCCAGGCGTACAAAATGAAAGATTAATTCTAAGACCAAACCTTAAAAAAAAAATGTAAAAAAGGAAATGGCACGTAATTTGTATCGATAAGTGTCGGTAAGTGTCGATAACTTTAATGAACAAAAATAAGTGTGCCAACAGACTTAAGATCCTTGAATTCGAATCATAATTGGAACTGCGACAATTCTAGTTAATTTTTATACTTAGATTTCTAACCTCAATCTCTAGAATCTGGAAGTAGCTTAAGTTTAAAGAGTGAGATTATTAGGAACTTCTTGATACAAATTTATAACGTACGATAGTAAAACCGAATGCTGATATCTCTTATCATTCTCTTGCTATCAGTCATGACAGCACGACCTGCCAGAAGGACGGACGGACACCAACAGAAACTAGAACATCTCCTTTCGTCGAGATCCGCTTAATGAAATATTCTCTCAAATTTGCAAATAAAATTGGAATTTGTTATAACAAATGGTTCACCACGAAATTGACGCACATCTTCCGAGTTGTTGCGCAATTATCCGATTTTCGCAAAGGCCTTAAAAGAAGCTGTTGACGATGGCAAAGGCAGCAGTCAGTCTTTCGCTGAAGTGTTAATCAGGCAAGATGCGTTTCCTCGTGATTGTGGTCCTCGTTGCTGTGCTTGCGACGGTTTGTGGTAAGTTTGCCTTAAGTTCGCGAATAAAAGGAGAAATCAGATAAGAAGATGAAGTGTTCTTTAGGCCAAGTCTTTATTTGTAACTAGTTTTCTTAAAAAAATCTCTTATTTATTAAATAATCCTATTAATTACACTATTTTCTTCTTCTTTTAGAAGCTCAATTCAGTGGATATCGGCGTCCTCGTCGTCTGCGCAGACCTGCGACAATTAAACGTCTCTCTGAAGTTTCAACTCTCATCGCACAAACGGCTGAGAAGCAGCCTGATTATAATCCGGTAAATTTAGGAACCTTCATCTTTTGAAACTCCGATTCTATGTGACTAGTTTCTTATGCTAAAGTAATCTTTAACTCTCACTTCAGACTGAAGACTTCTATGGCTATGAAGAGGATAGCGAATTCCGTAAGTTTATCTCTGGTTTCATTGCAATTTGAGGTCCTAATTCTCTGTCATGTTTTCCTAAAGCTCCCTCGCGTTGGGGTGAAAAGTGGCCAGTGTGCGCTGGACTGCAGGAGAGTCCAATCAACATTCAGCTCAACACGTGCAAGAAGGATACCGCGCTCTACCCCATGAAGCTGCATAACTTCGACGCCATTCCGCTGACTTCGACCATCCAAAACTTAGGTCACGCGGTGCAGGTCGTCTTCACCTACGGCAAGATCACGCCCTCCATCACTCGCGGATTCTACAGATTGACGAAGTACAACTTCCAGCAGTTGCACTTCCACTTCGGCAAGACCGACGAGTGAGTTCAGCCAGACTTAATCACACTTCCACTTGATCTTCATTGGATTCTTCTGTTCTTTTCCCCAGAGATGGATCCGAGCACACGATCGATACCAAGAATTTCGTCATGGAAGCGCACATGGTCTTCTCCAAGTCCACTTATGCCAGCATCACTGAGGCCTCTCAGGATCCCGAAGGCTTGATCGTCTTGGCGTTCCTCTTTGAAGTCGCGGAAGACGATGAAGTCAACAAGTCGCCGATTGGCTTCCTGGCGGACGTTCTGGCGCAGATCGGCGAGCCTGGACAGAGCGTGACTGTGGCAGACGCCAAGGCGCATCGTCTCATCGACATCATCGGAAGCACCAAGTTCGAGTACGTGCGCTACGCAGGCAGCCTGACCACTCCGCCCTGCTCTGAGGCCGTGACGTGGCTCGTGTCGACCAAAGCCCTGAAAGTCAACCGCAAGACTCTGGACGGCTTCAGGGAAGTGAACTCTTTCGAGGGCAAGATGGCCGGAAACCACCGCCCAGTTCAGCCCATCAACGGACGCGAGTGCTTCATTCACTAAGGACGCTTCGAAAGTATAGAATTGAATGGGTTGAACTGTTTTTCTAGACTAGATTTTGAGGAACTGAGGAAATTGAGCGAATTCAGTTCCTCAAAACATTGCACTCTTTTGAGATGGTTGAATAAATTCTAATCTATATTCCGGATTTATTTGTTTAAAAAATCAGCCAAAGAGCAGTTTATTGCGTTTCGAAAAGCCTTGTGAATGTTGAATTTAAGAGATGTTGTTTGATTGAGAAAGTCGGGAAATCTTTTTGTAAGAGTTTAGAGAAATTGTGCCTCAAATTGCAATGGATTTTGTAATAAATCTAAGACCAACTCACGATATTCCCTGTCGTCTTCATTATGCTGTTTAATATGCCTTAAAGATTAAGGTTTCCTGGACAAGAAAACGCCATTTCACACAATCCAACACCAACGTTCGCTTTATCGAGCTAAAACGAAACAGTGATAAACCATTGTAGTCAAATTTTTGGCAGTATTTTCCTAACAAAAAATTTCTATTCTATTTTATTATATATTTTTTTTATTTTATTCTATTTTCTATGAATAAATTTTAAATAAAATTAATTACATAAAAATTCTGCTTGATTATCAATTGTGTAGATAATTATCGGTTGATGTAATAAAATATTTATACAAATACTGTGAGTTTATTCGAATGTCGTCAACTGTATTTTGCCTGAATAGCAAAGTTCCAAACCGCGGCATTAGTGCAGACGAACTGCAAGAACACAGTGTCAAAAAAATAGCTTGACAAGAACAACACTTCTTGCGATTTCTACTCCAAGGAATGAATTCTAAGTATTTACTGCGCGTGAACCAGGTTCGTCTGCTGATCTCTGTTAGGGATTGCACTACAAATTCTCTCTTACCTCTCCAGCTGGACGCGCTGCAGCTCGACGATGGCATCCAGAAGGTGTTCACGGACAGTCTGTCCAGGATTCTGGACGTCTCGCCGAAGTTCCTCACGAAATTCCACCCGGAACTGGAGCTGCTCCTGCGCTCGGTGCTCTGGCGATTCTCCATCTACCGCGATAAGGCGTCTTTCGGCCAGCAGATGCTCTTCCTGCGCTACAACGAGGAGCAGTTGAAGAGCTGGAAGCTCGCGCTGCACTTCCTCTTCGCCGTGGCGCCGAAATACGTGAAGGACAAGCTAACTTATCAGTGCACGAGCAGCGAGAGCCTGCAGAGGCTTCTCTCGTGGAGCCAGACGATGCTCAATGTCCTCTTCCTACTCAACACCGCGCACTTCCTTCGCACGGGCAGAAGTCCTGGTCTGGCGGACTTCCTGCTGCGCCTGGAGTTCTGCGACGCGGCCGGGAAGCACCAGCGCAATATTGGCTACTTCCACATGACGCGCGAGCTGCTTTGGGCGGGCTTCATCGAGTTCATCGGCAACGTGCTGCCCTTCGTGAACTACCACAAGCTCAAGAGGCGCCTTCGGTGGTTTCTGGGCGAGACGTACGCGGTCAGGAGGGAGAAAATGAGGCTCACGGACAAGAGTCTGTGCGCGTTCTGCAATGAGCGCCCCGTTCTGCCTCACGTGCTCGATTCCTGTCGCCACATTTACTGCTTCTACTGCCTCAGAGGGAATCTGGACGCAGATCCGGATTTCAACTGCGTCCTATGCGGCGACGACGGCAGCGAATTTGAGCAAATCAGTGGATTTAGGCGGTGATTTGAGTGTTCAATTTTAGTGATAAGGGTTAGGAAAGATAATTTAAATTAAATGTTTTATAAGGGAGAATGTTTCATTTCTTCAGCAGATTCAGAAGTTCTTTGAGCAGAGATTTTAAACACAATTGAAACACGTTTTATATGCTTTGATTGTACATCACTAAATTTTATTACTGGAGTTTTTTTTCAGTTAAACATGCATTCTTCCTCCAAATTTCACTTTTCACAGAAATATCCAAGGAAATATCTTTCTCAGCACTTTTTTATTCAGCACTTTACGCATAAACTTCTCAACTCACTGAAACGACTAAAACTTTGTAATCTTGAGCCGCCAAGAAAACGCATCTTGTTCTATTAATTTCCCAAGAAACACTGACTGTTGCCTTGCAATCATCTTTACGAACTTCTTTAGCCATTTTCGGCTAAGCGAATTCCCAGAAATTAGTCGATTACGCATAAGCTTCAAAGATGTGCGGCAACTCGTGATGGACCAACTGTTAAAACGGCTTTGTTTGGAAATTAGGGAAAAATAATTCCTCGAATTAAGCTTTTGCCGTGGAAAATTTGGAGCTTTGTTTGTACAAATGATTTATGCGTCTTTTCGCTGCGTGTCTCACTCAATATTTGTCCTGACTGTTCAGTTCATTGAGGCTAAAATTGGCTTCTGCACGAAAGAAGTGTGAAATTCATATTAATTTACTGAATTAATCATTGCATTTTCTTCCAAACATTCCTCGAATCTCATTTGATTTTCTGCAATTTCGAATGAAACTCAGTCAATTGGACAACATTAAGTATGAAATCAATTGAAAGACAGTGATTTAAATTACGAATAAATATGGCATTGATTGTAATTTTCATATGGTTAGGAAAAAAGGATTTTCTTCAGCTGTTTCACTTGTTCTTTTATTGCAACTTCGTTTAAATGTGTTCCACGACGTGAAGCAAACATTTCATGTTTCACTTGAATTTTGCCGTGTGTTTTTATCCAAGGCACAATCACGTCTCAAAATATTTTCTTCTATCAAACACAATTTGTTCTGGCAATAATAATGATTACCGCAAGGTGACAATAATTAAAAATGTATAATTTTCTTCCGCAAACAAGTATTCGTTGCCTAATGAGCTAAAGTGAAGATAAACAGGGTGAGAGATCAGAGATCAATATTTCATCACTTGAGCAAATATACAATGCTCTGAATTTTCCACGCAATTTATCAACACTTTAGCCATTGTGAAGGGAAATTTTCGGCTTTCAGTACTTAACTGGAGTCACTGGAAAACAATTTGTGCAAACGAAGAAATAGAAAATGTATATTTTCTGCAATTTTCCGCTTTTCCGACAATTTAGCAGAGCTTCAAACCGACGATGTGGAACTGATTCTGGAGTGAAAAATCCATTCAATATAATTTATAAAGACATTTAATAATTCAATATTTGGGCTCTTATACATATTCTCTGATATTCGTGTTTCAATATTATTCACTTTTCATGCTTCCAATTTGTATAATTCAAATTTTGTGTGATTCTCACTGGATTTCCATCTTTTGCCATTTCAACTATTTTATTTATCCTCATTTGCCTATTTTGAGAAAAAAAAATAATACAATTTTCTCTCAATTGCAACTAAACAATTAAATTACTCTTGCCAAGCCGTCGCTTGTCGGGACATCCCAGATGCCTAAAACCTAAGAACCTAATGCAAGTAGATTTTTTTTTATTAAGAATTTATTCTCCACACTTTCTAAATTTACTTGGTTTTGTGTGTGTGTGATTTTTGCCTAATAAATGTAATGTTTGTTGTCTCATCTTTATTTTGGTGCCGATACAATTTAATACAATATTTTTTTCATCTTCCTTTTGCAAGATATGCAAGATATGTAGCTGAATATAGGTGATTTTTTCTCAACTCTTTTTCCATGTCGATTATCATGAATTGCATAAGGACAGTGAATATTTTTATATTTTCATCTCTTTACTTAATAATAACTTTCTCCATCATTTTTTTTCTTTATAATGTAGCTTCTTTGCTCATTGTTTTTTTTCCTCTTCTTCTCTTTATTATGGCAAAAATTATTTCAATATAATTCTTCTAGACTAGACCAATTTTGTACAAGACTTCCGCGCCTTTTTTCACATTATTATTTCTTTTTTTCCATTTAAACTTCTTCTCCCAATTTTATTCAGAGACACTCTCCTTGTGTCTCTTGTCTAAAGCAATAAACTAGGTTTTCTTTTAATCCTCCTATTGCACGGCGAATTCAGTTTTTTTTTTCTTTATATAACTCTTCTTCTTTATGATTTTCTCTACTTAAACATCTTATGATTGGTTTTCTTCTCATCTCATTTTCTTGCTTATTATGAATTTTCAGCTGAAACTTATTATGTACACAACATGTAATAAATAAACATTTAATTCCATTAGTTAAGGATTCCTCAATCGTCACTTAACAACTACAATTTTTGGGGACTTTTCTCCTCTTACACACGATTTATTATGGTCACATTGAGAAAAGATAGGGGACTTTATTTCTTACTTTACTTCTCACTTTTGTGGGGGATGAAATTGGGAAACATCAATACTTCTTCTTCTTCTGCTTCTCCTGCTATTAAACATGCGCTTCTATGGTTATGATTATTTTTCCTCCTCTTGCGTGGGAAAAACACAACATTGGAATAATTTACAGGATTCTCAACATTATGGCAAATAAATGAAAAACAAAAAAAAGAATTTATGTGTAAATAAATAACAAAAGCACTTTGCATTGAGCAGAATTTCCAGCATTCTCGCTCGCACTTTAAGTAAAAATCGTCTTTGACGCGATAATAATGATTATATAAACTACCAGCTAAATTAGGCGTCAGTTTAGCAAAGAAAAAGGAAGAATAATATAAAAGTGCTGTGCTGAGGAATAAATTAGTGGATAGACAGAATATAAGAACCTCTTCTTAAGTGATCTTCCTCCGCCCGAATTCTCCTCAATCCACTCGTCGTCCATTCATTTAAATATTATATAAATAGATCGCATCTATAGGTAAATACTTGTGTAAATTTTCATCATCAATATTGTCTTAACAATAAATAAGCTCAGTTTTTTTCCATATTATTTCTCTTGCATGGATTACAATATTATGGTTTGAGAAAATTTCCCACTGAAGATTTATTTGTTTTGTTATTCTGTTGTCATTTTTTTCTTTCTAACTTTTGTGTGCATTTTGTTGTATTATATATTTGGTAAAAAAAGGGGGAAGAGTGAAACCCAATAGAAAAATGCTTTATTAGAGGCTTCACAAGAGGTTGTTTTTTCTTGCTTCTTATCATTCAATCTCGAGAGGGAATCATTGAAAGTTGCTCCAGCAGGAAAACATACACTTTGTGTGTTGTTTTTTTGGGGTAAATATGTTTTTCCTTTCACAAATACTTCGGGAGTGTTTTTTTTTCACAGTAGGATTTTACACATTGATGGCAAAAATGTAACACCACTTAACAATTATTTATCCTTCCACACATACTTATTCATATTACAATTGTTTGTTTCATGAAATATTTTATGTAATATTCATTTATCTTTTCCTACTTTTCTCCTCCATTGAATTGATTTTTGCAAAATTCCAACCAAAATACACAGCAATTTAAGAGGAAATCTACATTTTCATCATCAATCATTCTGCAACGTCATTCCACTAATAAATCTTTGTCTCTTCGAAGGAATTAAGAAAAGAGTGCTTCAGAGCCTTAATATCTTTTCTGCATTCAGAATTTGACCTTTTTATCTTATTAAGTGTGAACATAATGCGCTAATTGTGTCGATGGCAATCGACGAGGTCTCTAATCTTCGTGATTATCTCTATGGAAAGCAAATGACACGTCTTTTTCCAAATGGTCTAGCGTAGAATGCTTGCGTTGGAAGACGCACTTTTGCCATTTGATCAAACGCCACTAGAACACATGTAATCGTGAAGAGTATAACAGAAGAATTTAGAATATGAAATAGAAATCGATACATGAATATGACTCACCATAATAAAATAAGAATTTGAAATAGGAACAGAAAAGTGTGAAAGTGTTTTGCAACTCCTTCACCGCAATACAAGATCGATTCGATTCCCAAACTTATTTCTCATCATTCGGAGTAAGCTAAGCTAACAGTTTCGTTGACTCATAACGTCATCAGGAAACTGCACCAGAACCTGGCTCATAATGACCAAACATTTTCTCTTTTTTTCTTGCCAATCCGAATTGATTTCTCGTGTGTTTTATTTCAGCACATTTGCCCGTTTGTCCTTTTTCATGCTCAATGCTGACGAACAGAAGAATAAATGCAGGAAAAATACACGTAGTGTGCATAATAAAGTGATTAATTAAGCAAAAACATATTTTCAAGATTTCCCACAAACTTGTGTAGAAATTCGGTGTAAAAGATCAGAACCAACAAATCTTCATCGAACATTTCTATTGCAAATGTGGTTCTTTTCACATGTTCACACGCTAACAAAGCATCTAATTTCTTAAAAGCGAAACTTTTGCGAGAAAACTGAAACACTCTTTTCTTGACTCTTTCGAAAAGAGGCGTAAATAGTAGAATGCCGTTGCAGATGTTTGTTTTTTTTTTTTTTAATTAACTGAAGAGGGAAAAAAGTTGCAACAAAATACATCGAATTGTAAATTCTATACAGGAAATTACATGTCTTACTGAACACATTGAAGAATAAGCTTACAAACAAAGAGACTAACAAACTACGTGGATTCTTTTCCTCCATTATTATTTTCCAATTTTATATCTCCTCAATTTATTATCAATTTAATATTCTTAACTTTTATTCTTTCTGATTTAACTAAATTACTAAAATTCCTCCCTCTCTCTCTCTCTCATTTTTCCCCTTTTCAATCCTCATCTCATCAATGTAAATCAATTCTGAGAGACATTATTCATCATCATTGCAATACTTTGCTCATATCAATTTCCCCCAGGACACTATAATGATTACAAATTAGTTAATCTGCTGTGAAAACAACGTGTGATTCTCTACCTTCCGCGCGCATTCCTCTCCACAGTCCGCGTCGTCATCATTGTTGCCTCATGCAGCCAGAAGAAGCGCAGCACTCTTATCGAATATCACTAATGTTATTTTTGCTGCCAAAGATCTTGATTAATTGTACCTCATAGTCGTCAATGTTGCGCTTCATTATATCCATGCAAGGTCCCAGCAGACGCTCGAATGCATCGACGTCGAGAACTGTTTGTTTTGCGCGCGAGAAACAAGCAGAGAAGAAAGCATTAATTAGTTGACAACGTGACAAAGTCAAGCTGAAAAACATTCTACAGAATTCATATGCCAAAATATGACAAAATTCAGGAAATGTTGGGATTGGTTTTTGTCTGTTTTCATATTTTTGATGCATCTCTTTGCGCCAATTCACCTGCACAAAAACACTTTTGAGGAACAAACAAATCTCCGTTTTGATGGTAAAATGCATTTCTCATGTTCTCAGGAGCCATTTTCATGGTGAAATCTCCCTTTTCATGCAAACTAATGTTTTTCTCTAAGGTTTAATATCGTTTATATTCATATCTAATGGCATTAAATAATAAATGGAAAAGTTGCTTCATGTGAATTTCCATACGAAAAATCTCTATCTCTCTTCATAAGACTTGTTGAGACGCTCAACGATGAGAGCACGTGATTTATCATATTGCTATAAATTTGGAAAATAAAATAAGCAAGATATGAGCGAAAGAAAGAGACCAATCTTTCGCTACGTAATAAAAGAAAATGAATTTGCCATGAGATATGAGTCAAGGGGTGAAAAACTGTTGAGTTGTGTGTCAATAAATAATTATCAAAAATACGTTGGAGAAAATGTCGAGTCGCAATTGCAATTTTGACTCGTTTTCTCCTCATAAAAATCCTTTTTATTGTAATTTTGCATTGACACTGAGAAAATTCGCATCAGTTTTTCGTCCCTCGGCATTTCAAGGCTGTGGAGGATAAACGAGAGAAATGACGAGATGTTCTAAGAAAGGCTAAGAGATTAAACAGAAGAAAAGGCTTACAATCAATTTAATTACCATTTCATATTTTTCTTTCTACTCTCTTTATCCCATTTTCAGTCTAAAAGACATATTTTGCCCAACTCTCCTCGTTCGGCGCCGTGTCTCAAAATTGTGATGCTTCGCGCACTTCCTCGCTCATAATTTCTTCTGAGGTGTCTTCGTGTTATATTCACTGTCATCCGCCCATCTCTAATTTCAGTCTCAATTGAAGGTGTACTTAAGTGTGTTTTTTTTCTCATTTTCCTCCTCATGTTTGTGTCACTTTTATTTTTGAGATCTTGCATGATTACAAATGTGTGTTTGTTTCTCTGTGTTTGTGTCTTTTTCCTTCTCCCTCAAACGCTCAAACAAATAACTTCTTTTTTTTGCTCTATTTCTCGTGATGTGTTTTCCTAAATTATTTGCATTTACTACAACACCGATGATCTACAGCCGAACACCTTGAGCCAGTAAGTTTTTGATTTGCGTCTCATACTCGATAAAATTTCTTTTCATTATATCAATACATTTTCCTAAGAGTCGTTCGAACGTCATTAAATCTAAAACTGTATAAATATTAGTGTTAGTATTGTTAAAAATTACTCATTCTACACATATTTGCAATATTCTTTTTCTCGCCTTCTAAACCACTTTCATAACACATGGAAGAGTTATCATGCTGACAGAATTTTCTCTATAATGCGTGGATTCAGTGGGGGGAGAAAAGGGTGTGAAAATAAAATAGTAAGTAAGTGAAATTGCCTTTTTCTTGTCTTGCTCATTTGCAGGGATTCTCACGCAGAATCTCCAAGTAGAGTGCTTCATCTAAATGTTTGTAGGTGTGAAATCCCCGCTTTAAAACGTCTACATATTTACCCAAGAGTCTCTCAAAACAACACGTTTCTAAAACTGCCACAAACATGCACCAGTAGATTAAGAGAAGATTCAAAATGAAAAGGCAAAAAAGAAAGAAGAAAAAACATAAAGCATTAAAAGTTATATAACAAACGCAATAATTAGAATAGAAATTAGTTTGTGAGTGTGAAGAGAAATTGTTGAGGGGTGAATAAATGTCACTCACGCATCACTTTTCATAATCAAATTGAATCCTTACAGATAAAAGGATACTTTTTCCATTGATTATTCAGCAAGTTCCCGAGCAAATAATCATTTTCTACCAGTTTTTCGAATTATATCACAATTTTTTTCTAATATTGGAGAAGAGAGAGACATATTATTCACCCCTTGGAAATTGTGGCTGTAGAAGAACAGAAGAAGGTTCGGAAAGCCGGCAGACAGTATAATTTTGCCATCAATTCGCACATTGTGCTACATCTCTAAATATCTCAAATATTTGTCTGTGCGCTAAAGTAATTTTTTTTTCATCGTCATCTTGCTAATAATTCAATCATTTCCCAATCGATCAACCTCGAGAGTGAATGGATAGAACAACAAAAGAGTAGAATAGATAGAGAGCAAGGAGGAAGAGATAGAGAAAGTAAACAGAGTAAAATTGCCGCAAGAAGCGATAAAGAGTCACTTACATGCCACTTTAACATTATCAGCAGCATAAGCGGACGCTGCTCTCGATCTGTGCGTTACCAGAGCCAATTCACCAAAATATTGACCCTTTCCCAGGACAGAAATCTCTATTTCGCCCTCGTCCTGCTGAATGCGAATGGACACTGATCCGTCCTCAATGAAGTACATTCCGTCGGCCACATCGCCTGCAAGACAGAGAGAGAAAAGCATAGCATTGAGATCGTCTCACAGAGATACACACATTGCTAAATGACAATAATTCCCCCGCCTCGCCAACCCCCACAAAGCCATAATAGAACTCATAAATGAGGAGAAAAAACAACACACAACTTTTCTTATTGATTTTCCTCATGAGAACCCACACATTTCCAGCGGTTCAGCCAACTTTTGGGCCACTTCGATACTCACTCTCTCACATTTGACTCGTTCTTCACCCTCTCCATGAGATGTACAGAAGTTTAGGTCAGAGTTAATCGAATGTATAATTATTCCCACATTTCCTTTCAAAATCGCCCTGAGAAGAGGCAAAAGTGCCTTCCGCAGAAATGGCACACACACACAACTGGGTATATTAGCAAGGAAGCGAAAGGGGTTCATTGATCTGTCGATGAATTGTTGCTGAAATCCTTCTCACAATCACAAAAGCACTGCTGTAGAGCTCAAAGTAATGTCATTCAAGATTGATTGAGAGCAAAATGAACTGAAATGTGCTTGATTTAACTTGTACAAGATAGGATTAAAGACACTTGTGAATGTGCAAATTACTCCAAATTCAAGTACTTCACTCTAAGATGGTTTCTTCGCTACTAACAGAGTTGCTCTGCATCTTCCTTCCTTTATGCCCTTTTCTTGTTTATATTATATGCCCTGTTTGGCTTATACTAATACGAAGTGTTGCTGCTGAAGAGTGTCACTTTTCGTCGTCGTCTGAGAATTCAGTGGCAAAAGATAAACGAAGTGTTTAACCTAAGCGATAAAGCGTCAAATAAATATCCGCCACTGAAAAGTTGCAGAGTGTTTAAAATTTTACAGCCCATCGTGTGTGGTCTTTCGGATATGAAATATTATTTGTTACGTGATCAATAAAATCCACTATCAATCGAAAATTCAATTGAATTCTGTAGAGAAATGTCTAAAAATAGAGAAAAAAGAGTGATTTTCTGTATTGAATTAGGGTGTAAATCTTGATATCTCGATCCCAGAATGTCAATTTTTCTCCCCAAACATGTTTAAAGAACTCTCAAGCGACTTCGCTTGCTTCAATAACAAAGACATTTCATCATAATTGCCTCACGCGTGAGAGTGTTAAACTCAAGTTCAGTGCAGTTGCTGAAGATCAAGCAGCAAAGATTTAATTCCCACTAATTTGCGCCACACTCCTTCAGTGATGTTCTCGCAATCTACTAAATTCACTTCACATCTAACTCAATTCCATGAAAGTGAAGATTGGCAGAAAGTTTGTGGGTGAAAGACAAATTTCCGCACGAATTATCCACTGTGCAGAGGATATATTGCGACTCGGATCACTTCAAAGTTTTCTCATTCAACTCCCTCAGACAATTTGTCTTCATGCACTCTTTTCTCTCTCTCACACCGAATGTCCTCTTCTGTCCATTTTCCCCAAATGGAAAAGAATCAATATCGAAAATTTTGGACTTGTTTGTCGCCCGCTAAATATTTGATATGATATCGTTGAAAAGTTTTCTGTACAGTTCAAGCGCGCTTTTTCCATACTGAGCGCGACGAGCAGAGAAAGATGAGGTGAAATCACTAAAGTTTCCCAATAGATTTCCTATTATGCCACTTCCTCTGACCTCGTTCTTATTTTTTGCCCACGTGCGTGATATTATTCGAGAGAGAGAGAGAGAGGGTGGAAAACTATATCAAATTTGCCTAACCCTCTGTCAATAGAATATCCACTTTCCCCACTCTCTCCTCTTCGGCAGATTAGTCGAGTTTTGCTGGATGTTTGCCAAATATATTTATTTACCTTGCTTGATAATTCTCTCTCCTTTGCCGTACGATTTTGGTATGAGGGCATCCGCCAGATTCATTCGTTCATAGTTCTGCCAAAGAGAAGAAGACACACACAACATTTAGGGGTGAGCGCAGATCAAAGAAATCATCGCAAAATCAACTTACTTGTAGCGCTTTCAGCATTGGAACATTGTCCAACAGAGATTCATACATTTTCCGCTTTCTGAATGCCGACTTCAGCAGAATCCTCCGGAATGTTTGCCGATCCATCGCCCACAGTTGACCCTCAGTCGCCGCCTGAATAGTGGCCGCTCTGCAAAGGATTCGCGCGCACGATTTAGTGCATTCACAAACAACCATTCAATCTGTCAGCATCTCACGCCCACTCACCTCGGCATATTGTACAAAAGTGCCAATTCACCAAAACTACCGCTGTTGTCGTACGTGTGGATGAGAGTCTCGCCGACAAAAGCACGATATTTTCCCCTGTGCAAAATGTACAAAACACGTCATTTCCATCGCGCGCGCGACGACAAAAAAGGGATGCAAAACTCACGATTCAATCACGTAGAAGTTGTCACCATCATCCCCTTGTCGTATTATGTACTCGTCAGTCCGCACAATCTTCTCGAACATGGCGTCCAGCACTTGATTCATCTGCTCCTTGTCCAGCGACCTGAACAGCAGGATATTCTTCACGGACTCCACCAGGCGCGCGCGCTGCTCGTCCGTCTTCGGGAAGATCGCCGTGGCGCCTTCGTCGTCGTCTGGATCATTCTCCGGATCGTATGTTTCAGCGAAGACAGACTTGCGCCGCGTCGCGAAGCGCGTCACGAGGGGTTCTGCCGAGAGAAAGAGGGAGAAATCACACTTCAAAAGCAGTCCTCAGCAAACAATCAAACACTGTAATGAGGTTTCTAGTTAAATTACAGCCAACTTTTGCCACAATCATTCACAGAGTGAATGAACTCTCTTGTCCTTCTGGCTTAATTTGCTGAATCTCCCAAAAATTCAAAGGGGAAGTCAACTTGCAAATCTTTAGAACCTTGCAAACTATGTGAGAGTATTCTGCAGAGACTTTGAGTAGCACAGAAGCCCCTTGAAAAATTCCCATGTCACACACATTTGGCCAACAGAGACAGAAAGGAGACAAATGGACACGATATGGCACAAAACAATTTTCAACAGAATCATTTCCTCGCCTCACCAATTCATGCACATTGAGAAATTGGCCCGAAATCGTCGCTATAAAGCGTCACGTCACATTACAGTTTTATGCGAGATGAAAATCGTAAAATAAAATTGTAGAAGCGTGACACATGAACAACTCATGATGTAATCAATCACAATTAAAATAGAAGACGAATCAATTTTTGCCACACACTCAATCATTATATTGATCTTGAGCGCACACTTCGTATTTTTTTTGCCTCCGCCTCTCTTTTTTTTCCTACACTCGGCGGCACACGAAAATCGCTGTTGTGTGCCTTCAAAGAAAGTCACTTCGAGTGTGAGATATTGGAGAGTGATTCAAGCGGAAAAAGAGTGTGGCAAAAAAGTGTCCAACAATTAGTGTTCACATTCATTGTCAGTGTCAATTATAGGACAATCAGACACACTTCCACGCATCGATAGCATTATTGGCGCGTAGTGAAATATTGAGACATAATTGACACAAATATCGTCAATCATTTTTTCCGCACTCTCTTGACAGTGAATCAATGATATATGTATATTTCGCCCAATATTGCCATGGCGAATTTTATGACCATTAATAATTCAGCAGAAAGATTCACATCGCATTCCGTTCAGACGATGGATTCTGCTTGATAAATACACATAAAAACAGGCACTTAAAGTTTGAAATTTCCGACTATGAGAAAACATTTTCCTCCCTCCTTCCAATCCAAGCAATTCTTCTGAATAAAACTTGCCAAACTGTCTGCCAGAGCGACGATAATGCTCACTCTCCGGATAAATGTTGTGAAAATCAAACAGAACACCAAACAAAAATTACATCCTCGTGAAATTTCCACCGAAACTCGCGCAATGTTTGTAAGATTACCTACTCTGCGAATTAATAAACAACCCCTGTGTTCTAATCCACACAAAACTCACATCAACTATCAGGCATTCTGCAAAACACCCTCGCAATTCACCACCTCCCATTTTGCCACCCGTGCAGTGTACAGTAAAATATGATAATTGCCAACTATTGAGAGCGAGAGAGAGAAATGTTGGATTTCCATTTCAAAGAGATTATCCCATAAATTTGCATTTGACTGGCGCAGAGTTGAGAGTGTGTTTCTGCCAGATATATTTAAACACTTAATCAATGGGATTACAAGATTGCCATCATATTTTCCACTCAGACTCCCACTTTTCTCTTGCGCGCCCGTAAAATTGAAAATTCAACAGTTTGTCGTGCCAAATGCACATTATCGCGTGGTTTATTCGCTAAGCATCCCACACTCCAGCGCACGTGATTAATGTGTCACACATTAATATGTGATAAAAACACTGCAGCATCTGCTCTGCGGAGAGACTTTATCGTCGCTCCAACTCTGGGCGCGCAGAGGAAGGAAAGTTGGGATAATTGAATTTCTTTCCCACATTTCTCAATGATAGAGACAGACAGTGCGATAATGTATCATCACCCAAATTGATTTTTCATAAATTATCACCCAATACGAGACCAGCAAGTGTCTCCAGAGCAACTAGCAAACTGCCAACATTATGACATGCATCATCACATTAAATGTTCTGACACGCCGTCAAGAGGAAAGACGCATTGTTTGATGTGTCTTCATCGCAAATTCAATTGACATTTTGCACAGTGAGAGAGAGAGAGAATGAGTTGAGAAGATACTGTCGAATATGAATCAATAAATGGCACAATTCACTTGATGTGCAACAGATTCCTTTTCCACACTCATTCCACTTTTCCGCCACACACAAAACTCTCGCTCTCACTTCTCATATATTGATTAGATTTTTGGGGAATATGATTGAATTGTGCACGGAAATCTATCTCTCATTCAATTTATCTCCCGTGAAACATATCCCAGATCAATTACATGCGCTGCTCACAATTGTTTGCGCAGATTGAATGAATAAGATATTCTTATCACACTGTACATGAATGCCTATTGAACTTTGCGAATATCGCCTTTTATTCCACACACGGAAGTGTTTTAAATTTTAACTTTGCAGTAAGATTAAACTCAGCAATTCTACTTTTATATGGAATCGAACCTTTAAAATCGATTGCTATGCAGTTTCGCAAAGAAGAATTCAATTTATCATTCAGTTTTATCGCTTATCTCTCCCTCTTTTCGTTCACATTTCGCTTCAGTTGCGCAAAGTTTTGTCAGGCTCTCAAGCTTTCCAGCAGTTTTGCCACCACAATCGAAATAAGAAACACGAGAAAGCTCTGCGAAATGGAATTGTGCATATTCCTAAAACTTGGTAATTCCCCTCGGAAAATCTCACGTGCCATTGGATCTGGTGAAGATTAAATCTTGTCGAGGACTTTTCCCGGAGAGAAGTTTTCTGTCTGTCGCAGGAAATCCCGAACAATCTAACAATGATTATACATGGCCAACCAGTGACTGTAACCTGTCAAATTCACTTCCCTGGAGCAAATCATCCTCTTATGATTGAAAACGTATCCACCCACACATTCGCTAATCTGGCTAATGAAGCAACTTTTGATATCAATGGCAAATATCGCAAATACTTAAAAGCACACACTTGGCAATCGAAGTTGGACGAGATTTGCACGTTTAGAGAAACGCGCAAACACAGAGGAAAAAAACTGTCAAGATCAACTTTGGATGCATTTTCCATTCGTTGCACGTTAATAGTAAAAACTGACACCATTACAAATTGCTTGACTTTGCATAAATTGACACCTTCAGAGATTGTTGTTGCAGCCTCGGAGAGTTGTTGCTCCATGTAATCGACACCGAAGGAATTGCTAATTAAATCACTCAATCTATTTGTATAAATGGTCATGATTTCTATCTTTTCACTCGTACACCATCTAAAAGAGAGCAAATGTCCACACACTTCTCTGTCCACCCCCACACAAAATTCGATTCACTGTGCACGCAAAAAGGGGAAAAGTTAATTAAAATAATTCAACAATAATTCCAACACAACACACCAACACGATATTTTGTCTTTCTCTGCCCAAAATTAATTCCCATTGAGACGTGTTGTGAATGAAAATGATATTTAATATTTGTGCCGTGAAAAAAAGACCACATTCTCCCCATTTTATATTGCTATGTTCCACCGTTTTCACTCCCACTCTTTTCGCCGCTGCTTCACTATCAATTTTCAATTGTCATCCATTATCAAACGATGTCAAAAGCTTTCTTTTATCATCGCACTGTAAAATGCCACAGAGTTTGCCGATCGTTCACAGTATAAGATGGAAAAGGGAGATAATATTGCATGTTCGATACTATTCCCGGTCAAATGGACACAATTATACATTGTTTATCACACTTTAGAGACTTGTCACGTTGTCTCTACTCGAGCTATTAATTAAAAAGACATTTTACAGCACTTTCTGGTGATGATTCTACGAAAGCAGAGTGTCTTCACAGCTGTGCAAGTGATTGAAAATCCACTGAAAAGAGATTTTCCTTCCTGATTCTCACATGAATCACTCGATTAACAATTTAGGCTCTGTAAATCCGCCAAATCTGACAGTCTAGACGGAAGTGTGTGGGTTTAGATGAGAACTGCAAGTAATACAATTTCACAGTTTTCATCTTTGGCACTTGAAGGACTCAATTATAAACTTACTCAAGCGCCCCAGATAAAACTCAAGTATATTGTCTTTATAAATTCAATTCATAATAAAGACAATTTACTTAGTGAAACCACAAGTATTCACATCAAATAAGAAAAGTAATTTCCTCTCGCAAGTCGTGCAAAATTGTGCGCTTGTCACAGAAAATTACGCTGGAAAGCGAGTTTTGAGGAGAATTTCATTACAGAAAAAAACAACAAGTTAAGCAATAAAAAATGAAGGTCAATTGAAATGTTGCAAAAAAAATCTCTTGTGCCAACATTGAACATAAAGTGAATGATCAATTTGATACGAGCAGAACACAAACTATTATCCCATGTCAAACATTCTATTTTCACCCATTCTTCGGCGTGTAAAATGAGTACTTATGGCCTTTTTCATTACATGGAAAGCAAACGAGCGACTAAATATTTACATTTTTCCATCAACCTGCACTCAGAACTAATGTGAGAAGTTGACAATGTTGTGTGCTGCAAATTAAATGTGAATCGCGCACAGGCGTAGACCTTCTATTCTGATGCCTTTCTAGATTCTTTTTCGGTTGAAATGATAGAAATTTTGTGATCAAAAAACATTCCAGAACATCAATTCATGTGCTTAAACAAGAATTTTTAGATTTCTAATAAAAATATGATCAATTTTGGGAAAGAGAAATAAGAAAATTCGATTTATGAATCAAATGTTCTCCACTTTAGGAATGATTTGACCATTTTATCAACTTAAATTCACATTCACTGCTTGATTATCGGTTCAATGGACTGAATCATCGTCTTCATTTTTTATGAGGCGTAAAAGTAAATCACAAAATTTCCAAACTACGTCCATGTGCTCTTGAAAGTGTGCACTTTCCGATGGCACACACAAATTGGCATGTTGACGGTAAATATTGCACAACTCTTTGAACTGGAAACATTCTGCTGGACTTCGCGTTCAGGTGTTCCAATTTATTATCGACGAGAGAGAGATGAAGCTGAACAATTCGGGATAATTGCCAAGAAGCAGGCAGAAAGTCATTCG